AATTAATACAGAAATAAAGTCAATAAAATTATTATAATTTCAATAGCTAAATGATATATATAGAATTAGAGATGAACATTAGTTAGTAATAGTAATAATAAGTAATAATTAATAGTAATATTACACACACAAAAACTGATGAAAAATATAAAAAAATTAAAAGCAAAAATATATTTTCTGAAAGTTAATTTCTTTAAATTAATAATATGTAAGTTATTAATTATTAACACTAATATTTTGAATGCATTAATATGTAGAATATTTTCTCGTTTCTTTTTTTTAATCTACAAATAAATTTAATTTATAATCAAATATCGAAAATGTATGAAGTTAGTACGTAAAACACAGGATAAACAATAGTAATTTCACTCTGTTCCTTTAAGAAAAATTTATTAAACTGAAAAATTTAATATATTAATTCAAAACATATATTAAAGTATTTTTATTTTATTTTTTATCTTTTAATAGAATAGTTTTTATTCATTTTAGAAAACAAAAATACATAATATTTATTTATTTATGCAATAAATAGATAAACTCTATATTTTAATTTCATAAAATAAGTATATAAAATATGTTTGATTTATCAAATATAGATCAAAATTATCAAATCAAATCTGAAAAAATTAATGAAATTATAATTTGTTTATTACTACATTAGGATATCTATCAACTCGTTATATAAATTTCAATATATTGCTCACTTTCCAAGACAGGTGTTAATATATTTTTGTACTCATAACAATATTATTCTTACTTCTAAGATAATATATTAGAAACAAAATTTATTATGTTTTAATATATTTTATTTAATTATTATTTTATAGATAATAATTTTTATTATTTAGTCAGGGATGTTGATGCCCCTTTGAATTTTTAAAACACATATATCAAATGTGTTTGATCAATACGGAATCAAGCGTGAGAACGTGTAGCTATTATAGCATCTTTAAATGAGTGCTTTTGATTGTAGGATGGAAAGGAATTATCAACTAGTGATTGGTAAGTTTTGTGATTTAACTATTTTGTTATATAATTATCATATAAAAAATATTTATATATATGCTTAAATTTAATTAAAATGTAAACATCTATGTACCTAAATTTCATATAGTTTGAAAATCTCTACAAAAAATTAATAATTTATTATTTATGTAATTGTACTACAATAATTTGTTCCTATACATATATTTTAAGATTCATATTATGTATAATATTTATAAATATTTTTTTGTTCTATATATTCTTGTATTGGTTTTAAATTTTGAAACTCTTAATGGTTTTGATAAATAAATAATAAATATAAATAATCAGCGTATTTATATAATTTTTTAAAATATTAAGATTTAAACATAAAATAATTATGTATTTAATGATTAAAAAAAACAAAATACTTATTCACTAATGAAAATATTGTGGTGCCTCTTCTTTAAAATTGAATTTGATTATTATTATTTCTTAAATTATTATTCGTATCATTATTCTTAACAATGAAAGTTCATATTGAAAATAATAATTCTATTTTTTACATTTATAATGGATACCATTTCATTAATGAAAAATACTTATTAAATTTTTTTAAAATAACCATTAGAAATAAATTTTATTATTAGATAAATCAAAATTAATAAATATAAACAATTTTATATTAGTTCAATATACTATTTAAAATTATTTGAAATCGCAATTAATTTTAAAAATTTGACTAATATTTGTATAAACAAAATAAAAAAAAATTATTTTGAAAATAAATAATAAACATATATTAATATTAAATAATTTATGCAAATTTCATTATGATTAAAAAATTCATTTATAATTCATTTTAATGTAAACAGGGTATAAATAGGGCATTATTTTTAGTCTATAATTTGTTTGTAATGACAATATAAAAAAATGATACCAATTATGTACTAGCATCTATATTTAAAAACTGTTTTAATAGCTTAAGATGTGCGTAAAAGAATGCTTGTCCTAATTACAATTATGTTCAATAATATAATTCAAAACTACGAATTTTAATATATTTTCCATTATAAATATCAATAAATATAACTTAAAATCCGTGATATGTATACAAGTGATTTAATAGTTGTTGTATTACACAACGTAATGTAGTGTATCTGTTGATTTCTTTTTGGTAATATATATTATTAGAAAATCATGACAAATTAAAATACTATATAAAGCAACATGTAACTGTAAATAATTTTAAAATAAAATAATTTCTATTTTTTAATACTAATATATAATACTTAGATTAAATTATTCCTTATGTTACTTGTGTATTTAATAATAGTTTAAATATTGTTCTCTTAATTTAAATTTAAATTACTTATATATTCTTTTACATAGATTTATTTTACCAATATATATATTTAATATAAAACCTGTTTATCAATAGAGTTATTCTAATCTCTACATTATTCATATTATAATTTATTATTAGTACTTCGTATAAAATATATTGTATTTATAACACTTGCTGTACATAACTACTACTAAAATATCTTTTATTTCAAATACTAAGATTTAGTTACAATTGTTAATATTAATATTGTAATAGGTTACACTATAATCGGAATAATATTAATCATTAAATGTTCTGGTATAATTTACAAATATAAACTTATCTATAGTATCTGTCTGTGTTATATATATTAATTTAATTAAATTAATTTTATTGCATTCTAATTATTAGCAACAGTAAATAAATGTAGATAATGATATTTTTTTAATTATTGTATATTGTCAACAAATAAACCATATAAATATGATTTAAATATTAATAGTTTTTAATTTTTAATTATTTAGGAAATTTTATAAGAGATATGTTTTTTATGTTACTTTATGTTAATTTTATATGAAATTTAATAATTTTTGTATAAAGTAGATTCTTTTATACAAATTATATTTAACTATTTTTTATAAGATAATTATAAATTATAAATTATTATGGAAAGTCATTTGATAGTGTTCATACCATATGTGTACTTTTGTTTTTATTTAAGATAAAATGAAAATTATTAGAAATATATCAATATTCAAATATATACTCTGACAAATAATTTAGTTAATTAAAGTAAAATTATTACTTAGAATTTATTTTACACAAAATCAATCTAGTATATCTGATATAATTGAATCTATGTTGGTATAATAAATAAAATTGAAGTATGTATACTGTATTAGTAAATAGTAACATTTTGAAAGTGAATTCAATAATAGACGTTGTAACAAAGATTTTTTTTAATATTATTATTACATCAATTTTATTGGTATTATAGAAATTAAAGAAAATCCAATAAAGAATGGAAAAGAAACTAAGAATGAAGATCATCTTGAAAGTGAGTAAGATGGCAAAGCAGAAATTTTTGTTTCTCCGCTTCTTATTACTGAACATACTGGGACGTTTTTCATGAGAAGCGTTACAATTTTTCTTCAGTTTTAATATCCAGAGGATCGAAGAGCCCCATTCGTGCATTTTGAGTAGCGTAAGAATTCTAGCATATCAAAACATGTGGTCCAGGAAATCGCCGTTAAATTCAATTATTAAAAACGTAGATATTATGGAAGTACTTAAAAAGAAAACAAAATTCTCTAAGTAAATTTCTATTTGAATTTGTATTTATAAAGACAAATAATTTTTATATTTAACTATAAATGAAATATAGAATAGAATTTTCTCAAAGAATATTATTTGTATTAACTTTTATTTTCGATAGATACTGTGTAAAATGATCTAATTTTTTGTTTCAAATAGTCAATCTTTATTAGATCAATTTATCTATCGATATTTTTTAATTTGGCTATTGAGTTATATGAATCATAAATATTTTTTTATTTTATTAAATTCTTTTATAAACTAAAATCAATCTAAAACTTATATAATTATAATGCTATTTTAATAATATTTAATCATAAATAGAAAACCGTAAAAAACGAATCGATATGTTGTACCGACTTTAAATTTTTTTAAAAATTATTCATTCTATTGGCTAGTTGCTTATGAATAATACTTTTAAACTAAATCATTTAATATCTTATTTGTCTGCAATTTAAGTTTGTATTATTTTTCAGAATTAATATAGAGATTAATTTATGATTTGAAGTAAATAAACGATTGATAACGATTCAAAGATTAAAATCTTCGAAATATTTTTATGATTAAAAGTTTAAATAATTATTATACACTAAGATTGATTAAATGAATGTAAAATTAAAAATACCTCTTAAATAAATATTTCAATTATTCAAAACTTATTAATTAAAACAAAAAATTTAAGATAAAACAAGTTCTGTAAATAATATGTGAAATCTATAATTACATATTATGAGTAGTTAAGCAAACTGTACAATATAAATGACAATAGATCATTAAATTACAATTTGAAATTGTAATAATTTATTTGAAATATTTACAGAATATTTTAATTGAAATAAGTTAATAATTTTTGTAAATAAAATACTTTATATATATAAAATCATTTTATAAACATAAGTCTAATTTAAGCATTTTTTATTTAAAAATAAATTAATTGTTTTAAAAATTTATAAACTTATAAATCATGTTTAAAATTCATATAACATTAAAAAATATGTTATAAAATTTTAGAGAGGATTTGGAAGCATTAAATAAAATATACGATAAACTAACAAATACGACAGGCATTAAAATAAACTCTCTGACTAATGATGGCAAAACAGATTTTCTTCCTTCGATTTATGTAATTGATACATTTATTTTTACTATTGCGTTTTACTTTTATATTGAAAATCATACCATGGAATACCATGGAATAATTCAATATTAAATTGGATATCACGTTTATTTAGTATAGTATTATTTGATAAAATATAAATTATGTGATTATATTTATATATAATTAAAATTATTTTAGGGTATTAACAGAGCTGTCTTTAGACAATTATTACAGAATACTTTTAATCTTTTTGTAGAAGATTTGTTAATAGAGCGCATATTTTCTTGCTGGGACAAAGACAGCGAAGGTACAATAAGATTAGAATTTTGGATTATTGGCTTAAACATATTTTTACATGGGAGTTTTATTGAAAAAATGGAATTTTGTTTTAAAGTATACGATTTAAACAACGATGGTTTCATAACTAAAGATGAAATATATCAATTGTTAAAGTGAGTTTATTATTATATATTTATATTTAATAATTACATAGTATTTATTTATACGATTATATAAAACAAGTTTCTAATAATTAACAGAAAATTAGAAATTTAACTAATAATTGTACTAATTTACGTTTTAGAACATTTTACTATTTACAGTTGAAAACAAATAATAAAACTACGTTTATTTACAATTTGCTTAACGAAAGTTTATATAAAAATAATATTTATATATTATTTTATTGTTTTAATTTTATTACTAAAGTTTATTTAATGAAGTTGTACATTGAACATGTAAAATATATTTCTTGTTAATTTGTAATAAATTATTCTGAAATTAATATATAAAAATTTTATATATATTACTAAGAAATATTATTGATAATATTATTGTTATAAAAAATAAATATTTTGTCAAATTATAAATATTATTGATTAAAGGAAAAGTCATTATTAATATTATAGGAATTGTTTAATAAAACAACGATCCGAAGAAGATTCTGAAGACGGAGTAAGAGATCTTTCAGAAATGATTTTAAAAAAGCTGGACGTCGATCACGATGGTAAAGTTTCGTTACTTGATTATGTAACTTCTGTTCAAGAGGAACCGTTATTATTAGAAGTCTTTGGTAAAATTTTACCAACTGTTGAAAGCAATTCTGCATTTTTATTAACAATTAAATCTGTGTGAATCTTTCTTTATTACAAAAGAAATATCGTGTAGAAATAAATAAATAATTAATATATATATATATATATATTTAATAAAATCAACTATTTAGATCTTAATTATAGATTAAATAAATAGTGAATTAAATAATTGATATTAATTTTTAATGAAATCTATAAACAATTGTAATAATATTAAAAACATTATATTAAATAAACAATTAATTTTTTGAATATATATTTTTAAAAGACTGAAGTTTATTATATAAGTTATTAAGGAAGCGACTTTTTAATACACACATTTTGTTTATTATAAAAAATATAATCTATTAATAAAAAAGATATTCTCTCAGTATTATTTTAATATGTACTAGAGTAATATCATTAATATAATAATATAATACATTATTACATAAAGATTGTTCTAATTTGTATATTCTTAATTAAAACATTACATTACGTTAGACGAAATACATTCGTAACGCGAAAAAATTAGATTAGATTATAAACGTATATTTTAATATTACTATGATTTTAAATTATTATAAATATAAAAATAAAATTTATAGAAAATATAAATTTTATATTTCTGTATTAATTATGTTGTATGTGAACCATAATTATAAATACTTAATTTGTAGCTACTTAATATAAGTGTCTAAATTTTGTCCTTTGAAAAATAGTAATACTTATTAAGTAATACTCACAAGTTAAAATTATTTATAATATTAATTAATAAGATAAAATTTTGCGAAGTTTAATATTAATATATACGAAGTTAGTACTTTTTAGTTTTTATTAATATATTATATAGAAAAATATGATCTCATGTTGTAAACAATTACAATAATTTATATTAAAATAAAAAAGTATTTTAATCATGCGAATATAATAAACTAACAAATTTAGAAATAACAGTAAAGAAAACTATTCGTTATTATACATTACATTGCCTCACTTGTTTCATTGTCTTTGCATTATCTGAAACAGTATACAAACTCCAATTAATTTATCATAAAACTTGACATTTATGAATATGTAACAATAGTCTTTCGTTCGATATTTATAATATACTAAGAAATTGCATGAAAGCATTACATATACTTTATTATATGGAGAATAAAATGGCAATTCTTCCAAACTCAATTTTCTTGAATTATTTTAAGCCCATAAATTTTTAGAACAAAAAGTATACATATGTCTAAGGAGTATTAAAAATGCTTTGCCATTCGACTCTTAAAAAAGTCTATTATCAATGTGTACATATCGAACTATGTTTTTATGGGTTGTCGAGTGACCGCGATAATATCGAATAATGCATCATATAGAACGTAACCAAAAAAGTTTTTTTATGCTTATTATTCTCTCCTTCCATCCTCTATCTTATATTGTCTTTAGTATTTTCTTCCGCATATCTATTTTTTTTACTTTTAAGTATATATATATATATATACATATATCAATACATATTTATTTACAAATAAATATTGTATTATGTTAATATATTATTGTATATTATATTATTTTATAATATACTCTATATTACTGAAAAATAAACATTTTTATTGTGTTATGCTATACTATTATTTAAAATATCTATATTATACTACACTATTATAATTATTAAAAATGTATAAAATTTACACTATTAAAGTCTATTCTATATTATATTACATTGTTTTCTACTATTGTATAATGTTATGTCACTTGTTTAATATTAAATTACAGTATATTGTCATTTTACGTAATGTTATACGATACTAGATTATTTTTAATTTTAATACATAACATATTATATTATGTCATTATATGCTATAGTACACAGAATGATATTATAAAATTATATTTTATACTATATTTTATTATATTATTATATTCTGTTAAATTAAAATTCCAATACATTACTTTAACATTACAATATAACATTGCATCATTTCACATGATATTCTATTATATCAAATCATATTATAATATACTATTTCAAATGATATCAAATCACATTACATTACACATATCAAATTATATTGCATAGCATCGTATCACATCAAATCATATCACAACACAAAACATTACAATACATTTGTATTATATCCTCATTTACTGTTTAGTAAATTAAAATATCCTGTCTGATATATCTAAAATATTGCATTGCATTATATGAAAAAGTAGTTCATTATGTTGAATTTTAATATAATATAATTAATTATATTAGAATGCACAATACATTATATGTGATTGTACTACATTCCATGCAGTACATCAGGTCATATACTTTTTATGACATCGTATGGTATGTATCTTACCATATTCTAATATATATCAAATTAAAACATATATATTATGTTATATCAGGCACGGGCGTCCGTGGACACACACACACACACACACAAATAAATATATATGTTGGCTATTATACATCATATCATAATTGAACATATATTATATTGTATTAAATTATGCATGTACCTATATATATTTATATATTTTTTTAAGACAAAGGTTCTACTCATAGAGTTGAATAAATTACCACGTCCATTTTATGCTCGATTGATTATCGAATAAGTATAAGAGGCAGCTTTATGATATAAGCTTTGTAGAAGTTTCGCTTCATTGAACGTCGACACTGTGACGTTTTTGAAACTCAACCATGCGGCACTGGCTAGCTTTTCTTGCGTTATTCATCGCTACGCCTTTACAAGTAAGAACGAATAAATTCATTTAAATGTAATCATTTTTATCAATATAAAAATATTAATTCAGTTTAATATTTTTATTATACATTAATTTCTTGTGGTTGAACACATTTGCTTCAATCAATGTAATATAAATTAATTCCTTATTATGTTCAGTTTGTTGTTAAAAATGAATGTTATTAAAATTTTTTAAATATAAAATATAAGTAAAAGTTTTCAAAATCTAATTAAAATAATTTTTTTTAAATAGTTTACTGTTTATTTAAATAAATCATCTTAAATCGATTAAAATTTCTGATTTCAAATAATATAGAACAGAAAGATTTTATATTCAAATTGGTATATAATGCATAATATGTTATTTTTATTTATTATGAATAATTATTTAGAAAGAGTCCGTAAAGAAATAATTTACAACTATAAAATTTAAATGTTGAAATTGAATAAAAATTTCATTCTAAGTAAATGTTATAATTTCATAGTATAAACTAAAATAGTTATATGAATATATATATATATATATATATATATATATATATATATATATCTGCTGTAAAAATTTTAATTATTTGAAGACTTTATTTTTTAAAGTTTTTTAACTATATAAAGTTTTTATGTTACTTTATAAACACTTTTAAAGCATTATACACATTTTTAAAAATTTCATTATATAAAGTCAGTTGACTTTGTTTAAAAAAATGCATGAGTATGTTTAAATAACTCAAATGAAATTTTATATATAAGAAATATTTTCTGATATATTTTACATCTAAAACACATGCTTTTGAACATAAATCATTGATTCATACATCAATAAAGTATTATTAATTAGGTGATATTTAATTAATATATAACCTCAGTTAAATAATTTAATTAGTTTGAAATTAATCTAGAGATTTATTATGTTAATTTTATTTTCGAAATTTTTCATAATTATATAAATACTAATATTTAATTACTTAATTAAGTAATATTATTTATACAAAAATAATAATATATTTATAGTTTTCAATTAAGTATTATGAATTATAAGTGCATGAAATTACATCAAGTAATTTTTTGAAAATTTTAGGAATTAGAAGCTCAACCATTTGCACATAACATAGGTGGACAGCCAAGGAAGAAAGTAAGTTATTTAACTTATATATACAATTTGAATCATTATTTCAAAATTTATAAAACAAAACTCTAATGTAAAAAATTTGTTTTAACTGTTTTAATATATTGTAAACTAAAAAATTTTTTAGACGACAAAAAAGAAATCCAAGCAATATTTAAATAAATATTGTCAGTTTTAATTCACAAAATTTCTGGCACAATTAGCCTTTTCAAATCTATCTCTATATAATATTATAATATATAAATAAATACTATTATTCCATTTGATTAATTTACTGTATTATAAAATAAAATTGATAAAAATATATTTGCAGTCTGAAAGAATTCAAATTATTATGAAATAAAATGAAATATTAATTAAAATATAACTTTTTAAATATAAATTAAATTATAATTTATATATAAGTAATATAATTTATAATATGATAATTTGCTATTATTATATTTAAATACTGTATAATATTAACAAAAATTTATTAAAATGCAATAAAAAAATTGTAAAAATTAGTGATAGGTTCCAAATAAATATATATGTTTTAAGGCTTTTTTTTAAAAGATGTCATATTTTCTTGAACAGTATTTGTATAAAATTAACATTAATTGAAAATTTTTTCTAATTTTATAAAAATGTTTTTCGTGTTAATTTATAAATTAATATATACTTGTGAAATATAAAGTTCAAAAAATTGCATTTCAATCTTTCAATTATGAAGCTTTAATTGGACCTATTAAAACACTTAAAAAAAAGAAATATTTGTGATAAAATGTAAAAATATATAGTGTACAAGTTTTGTAAACTTTGGACTAATTTATTGAAATGCATGTTAAAGATAATTAAAATATGAGAAATCTAGTACAATAACTTTTAATACTTGGATATTTATTTATTATATATATTTAAATAAGAAAAGAATCATTAAATCACTAAAATTTAAATAATTTCAAATAATCTAAATTATGTCAGTACGATCTGTTTGCAAATATTATTCGCTATTCCATGCATTTATGTAATATATAGTATTGTAGTATTATATAGTATTATATAGTAGTAATTAATTGCTTAAATACTTAATTACTTTAAAAAATTCTGATTTCACTAAGTGCATTGTAAATATATTTCAGTTAAACAATTAAAAAAAATTATGATGAAACATAATTTTATTTATATATCTTTCAAAATGTATTTTACATAATTTTGTAAATTTAATATTAAACTTATAATTCTTTCATAAATATATTTAGCATAATTTTTGCTATATAATTGAAATAAATATAATATATATTATATAAAATTGAATAAAAATTCGAACTTCTCAAGTACATAATTTATATATGAAAATAATGCTTATTTTATAAGAAAATGTTTTAATATTTATTGGAATTACATTATAATATTTCTGAAATTATATATTATAATTTTGAAATTTTATATCAATTATATATTAAATGTACACGGATAATTTCTTTTTGTGTTTTCTTATTAATAACAAATTATGCGTTCGATAAAAAGAAAATAACATTTTTTAAATGTAATACTTATATTTTAGACTTTTCATAAGAAAAGCTTATAATTAATATACGAATGCCAATTTAATATGAAAACTAAAACTTCATTTATTCCTAGGCGAACAACATTCGTAATAAAAATGTTAATATCATTGTCAATATGGATCCAAAACAAATTGCGAGTGAATTATGGAATGTTATCAAAGAACATTTGGGTACAGCTAGTGCAAAGGATGCAGCCGTCACCATGCGAGAAATAGAAAGCGTTATTACTCCAGTGGTAAATCCTAGTCGTCGAGGAGGTGTCATTCCTGTGACTCAAATTGCTGACGATCTTGAAACTATCACTCGTCGACTTATTATCAACGAAAATCCAAGCATAGATCCAATGAAGTTAGAAACAATTACGAAGGAAGTTTCATCAGATCTTATGGCCTCATTGCAAAGCTTCTGGTATGGAGTGAATATAGATGATAAAGAAAGTAAACGAAAGAAGTCTATCGATTCTCAAAATAATAATGGTAATGATCATTACGTTGATCTGCGAGTAAAGATCGAAAAAAATGATCTTGCCAATGCCATTTTAGAATTATAGAAATGAATTGTGACCAAATAGTGAGTCTTTTTCACAAAAACTTGATTCTAATTTGTTGAAAAGACTTCGTTTGGAAAAATAAGTAAAAATAATATATATACACCCACACATATACACGCACGCACACACATATATATATATACATTTGTGTATGTGACAAATTGTACGTTAAATAAAATATCACCGTGAATAATATGGTTATTAAGCTTTCGGATGATTATATTTATGTTTTTTACTATTAATTAATAATAGACAATATATAAATGTGTGTTTTTCAATTAAAATAAATAATTAAAATTCGATTTTAAACATTTTATTAAAAAATAATACTAAATAATACTAAATAATAATAATGTTATACTATATTCATGATATACATAGAGGATGCATGTAAAAATGTAAAATTTTATTAAGAATGTAGAAAAATATATAAATATATGAATCTTATTTATTAGTATTAAATACTACATATTTTGAGTATAAGCACAATTAATACTATAAAGTATTACAGTGTACATTTTATAAAATTTATATTTCATTTTCTATTACTTAAAATAAAATTATAAAGCAAGTGATAAATTATTGATAGTTGACTGAAAGAATCTTTAAGCAGAGATTCTATTTGAAATTATTTTAACAAATGTTATTATTACGTTATAACTTATGAATAATTAAAATCAACTCTAAAAAAATTATTCTACATAAATAATATTAGACTTATATGTAAAGTGAGTAATTGTTCAATTTTTCATATAAAATATTATTATTATTAGTTGTATATTGTTTATTATATTTTATATCACATTATTATATTGTATCAAATTATTTTATTATATTTTAAATTTTAATTCATAATCTCAAACAATAGACATAATAGGAATATAGTGCATAATATTAAAGATAAGTTTTATAAATTATGTATTATTTATTTGGTTATTTAATTAATTTTCGAAAACAGTTTTAATATAATCTAATTAATAAAAAAAGATAAAATTGATTTAAAAATATAAGATTGATTTAAAGATATAAAATTGGTTTAAAGATATAAAATTGATTTAAAGGTGTAAAGTTTATTTAAAGATATAAATTTGATTTAAAGATATAAAATTTATTTAAAAGTGTAAAATTTATTAAGATATAGAATTACATATATTTAAAAAAATACAAAGAAAATAATGCATTAAAATATTTTTTGTTTATTTATGAACAATTTCACAATTAATAGATTTTATTTTTGTCTAATATAATTCTTATTAAAATATTATTCTTCTCCAGTTTATAAGTCTTTACATAAGCATTTAAACATTTTAATCATTATCAATAAATTGAATGATTATCTTTATGATAAAATTAAATTTATGAGTATATAATTAATTTTTGAAAGATTCATAATACTTATTTAAAATCCACATTTACTCTACTATAATAAGTATTCTGTAATATTATAATTTTTAAATTTCTATTAAATTTTAAACAATGCTTCTTGATACTGTTTTGTGTTATGTCTTCAATATTCAGTAAGAAAGAGGGAGAGGGGGTAGAAAAGTAAATTAATATTAATAAAATATTAGTCTTTTAAGATTTGTCAAGTTTCAAATAAATCATAGCTTCTGTGTGTCTGCGTATTTTTAATTAGAAAAATATATAGACATATGCAAACATACACATTTATATATTCACTTCCACTATAAATATATTTACCCTTTTATTGCTAGATGGGAATATAAAATAGATTTAATAGCATATACTTTGCAATTACCTGTTTTTCAAATTTGAAATCCTAATATTTTAATAAACTTTAAAAATAAAAAATTATTAAAGAAATAGTATTATACAAATGTATCTTTATTTTTCTTCCATTTAGTAATTACATTATGTAGAATTTTTATACTCCAATGATAAATTTCAAATATTTTTCTATTATTTATCATATATTTATACAATATATATTTATTTAAAATAATTATTTATATTTATATATTTATTTATATAAATAGTAATTATATTATTTATATTTATTATAAACAAAAATAATATAAATTATTTTTTAAATTAAATTTGTTTTTGATACAAAAATTTTTTAAATTTTTATAATAATATGATTTTCTTTTCTCTACAAATAATCTAAATTTTTTATTTAAATATAACTATTTAAAATATTTAAGATGATATATATCATTTTCAAAATTTTTATATCTTAAATTTATTATTTTTAATTTCTTTTTTTACCGAAATAATGTATTGTTTTTACTAAAACTATTTATACAAACTATTTTTCTTACTAAAGAAGATATAAAGTTTGGTTTTAACTTATTAAATTTAGAATTAACTTGTAATAAACTAGACAAGTCATATTTGTGTCAAAAGAAATAATCCTTTAAAAGCATATTTAAAGTATATATAGAAATATATTTTGAAGTATATTATGTTAAACATTTCTGTTAAAAATAATTTTATAATAAAATAATAAAGCTGTATCTTCATTAAAACATACATTCTTCTGTGCTTGTTAACATCCCATTTATACATAAACAATTTTTATCCTTACATTTATTTGTTTCTTACAAATTTATAAATCAATTAATAAAATATGAATCAAAAGTTACACGTTTCATAGATTGTATTTCTGAAATAATATTAATTTTTAACCAATTAAAGTAAACAAAACATTTTTTCTATCGTCTAGAACAATTATCTGTAATATAATATTATACATTTTTTCATTCAAACTTTAATAAATAAATTAATTTTAATATTTTTAACTATAAATGATATGTTTATCTTTAATTGAGTATTAAAAGATATATTACTATTTTGAATTTTATTTATATAAATACAATAAAATCTAGATATTATCAAAATTTCATAATTTATTTTCATTTATCAGTAATATTAAAAATTAATATGTAATAATTTATTTGTAAATGTTAGTTTGTATAAATCAAGGTTTTATGATGAATATCAAATTAACTAAGTTAAAACTGGGTTTTAAACAATACCTTAAACCTGAGCCTATTGTATTATTTTAAATTAAAAAAGTCTATTCATTAGAACTTACATAAATTATATTTTATTCTATTCAATTAAAGTAATATTAATGTTAATTAATGTTAAAGTAATGTTAATTCTTTAATAATTTAATGTTATTATAATATTTTTAATCTAAAATGTGATTTTTATCAACAAAATAATTTACTGAATACTTTGTATATGCTACATTTAGGGAGTCCTATTTTTCCTAAATTGTATATAAATTATTAATTTTACAATTTATATGAAATAGAATGCTTTTGAAAGAATTTACTTGTTTATCTAAGTAATAAATTATTTATACACATATTTTTATGTATATTTATTATTAAATATATATTTAATATTCATATTATATCTTATATATTATGTATTATAAAAATAAAAATACTAATAAAAATAAAAATAAAAATTATATTTCTCATTATAATTCTATAATATATAAAGTGTATATTAATTTTAAATTGATGTGTATGAATATAATTATACTATCATAATAATTACTTTATTTATAAATGATTTATTGAGTATAATATATTTATTGTTTTTCGATATTTTGTTATTAAGTATTTTTTAAATTAATTATATTAATTGTTCAGAATTTTAAACAAATTATAATATATGATAACATATAGGTTGTTCGACACAAGCAAATAAACTCTGGTTTAATTTTCATTTTACTAGCAACAAACTTAATAATTTGCCGCATATCGAAAATGAAGCACGTGCAAAGTGTTTTTTCATAAAATTTTTATGTTCAGCGTACTAACCCACTTATTTTTGGCAATAAAATGGTTTACTATATTAACTGCTTAACTCTGATGTGTCAAACTTTCAGTTGTAACAAGTCATCAAAAACATGTCGAGCAGTAGTGCATCAAAATTGATCTTACCCATAGTGAGTGAAACTGTACTCAATATTTTTAATATAATTATTTGTTTAACAGTTTCTATTTATATTTAACTGAAATGAAAATGAATTATATATTTAGAAAATAAGATATTCTTTATCTGTATTAAATTTGTTGTTAATATTTATAATAGTTATATATTTTTAAATATACACATTATTATATAGTAAAAATAACATTTTACTAAAACTATCATTTATGAAATTTCAATCCTGTCATTTTTAAAATATTGGTTAACTAAGAAAGCAATCATCTTACATAGGTTCTATTTCTTTTAATACAATGTCACAATTCGGAAGCAGGAAAAATGGCCAATTTAATGCAATCTATTTTAGATACATTAAAAAGTATCGAGAGTCTATTAAAAGATGAAAATGCAGTTGTTGATAATAAATCGGTCTGTACAATGTTTTCTTTTATTGAATCTTACACTTTAAATAATATGACAAATAACTTTTTATATTAGAAAATAAATTAATTATTTATATATTTGTTAATATTAGGCAATTACTTATGAAACTGTAAATGGTGGAAAAATTAATGCAGAATTAATTAAGTTAAATGAAAACTTTAATTCGAATACTAATAATACTATTGATGAGGTAACTGAAAAACAAATGGAAGAAGAACCAACAGAAAATACATTTTCATCATTTAAAGAAAAGCAAATTCACAAAAAACTTGGGAGAAGAAATTCAAATGCTAATCAAAATATAAATCAAAATATCAATCAAAATCAAAATACCCATTGGCCAAAACTTCGTTCAATTATGGAAATGAATGATCCAAAAAAAAAAATCAAATTGATCGCTAAAAATAGTAACAATGAAAGCGATCACAAAAATGAAGATATAGTGAAACGCCTTTTTGAACCATCAAGCGAGGAATTTGAATGATGAGTATTGAAAGAGAAATGAAGTGTAAAGCCTATGATGTTTGTAGATAAAAGTATTAATTTGTTATATAAAATAAAATTTGATTTTGATTATAAAAAACAATTTTCTTAAATATTGTGGTGAATTTTGAATTCACCACATCTTGAACAACTTTCAACTTTGACGAGTGATATGAAATACAGAAATTGCAAGCTTCAAGCGGCAGGTAATTTTATGCTTTAATGTCAATTTACATCATGAATTTTGATTCGCGTACGTTGTCACCTTTGTTTTCATTTTATTGAGTTATTAATCATGACGGATTAATGAATAGTAGCTTATACTTTTTTCTAAGATACCAAACTCAATTGTATTAGATATTATTATATAAATTTAAATTTATTTATATTAAAATTATTATTCAATATTTGATCAAATTATGTTTTTTTTCATTTTGATATACTTTATTTGATTAAATTATAATAATTTTCTAAATTGCTAGATCACTTTAATAAGGACTTTATTAATTTATTTTCATCATTATTATGTAATTACATTCATATCATATTTTGAATAAATATCATAATTATATTTATTTAATTTATTATCACGTTAAATGATTGTAGTATATAAATATGTTTTGTAAATAATTAATTATAATTTTGAAAACAGAATGCAAATTTAAATGCAACGCCGGATTTTACATCAATATTTTGACTTAAACTTTGCAATTTTATTCTTGCTTAATAAAAAATTTTATTTTATCTGTATCTTATTTTGTATTCAAAATACTATTTATAATTTATTTTAAATATTCGTTTATACTAATAAGTTTCGATCGTAAAATTTATTATACTGTTTAATTGAAGATTTTCTATTTATGATTGTTGATTTAGAAAATTTATTCATTTGTGGTTCTATGATAAAATTCTATTAATTATCGATAAATAAATTTCTGTAATTCTCTAGTTACATACAATATATATTACCGTCTAAATTCGAACTGCAATTTTTATTTTCATTTAAATGGAATGTAATACACAGGCACACACACAATTATATATAAATGATATATATATATATATATATATATATATATATATATATATATATATATAAACTATGAATAAAAACTAATATAATTTATAAATTACATTACATTATATTAAATTATATAAACTCATTTAATTCATGTTTAAGACATTTTACGTTATATTCAGTATTTTATGTCCAATTTCATAACGTTTTAAATTAAAATTTGATATAAAAGATGAGATATAAGATAGAAGCTAATCTTATAAATGTAAATTAATAAATATTTTCAAATCTTTAATTAGTTTTAATTAATTTTACTACTTATAATAAAATTTTTTTTTAATTTTTAACTTTATTATTTATTTATTAATATTATAAATTCTATTATTTTTATTGTTATTTTTGTTTATTGTTATAATGGTTGTGTTGTTGTTATTTATTGCTATCATTGTTTTTCTTATTATAGCTATTTTGTATTTTTTTATTGTTATAATAACTATTATAATTGTTTATTGTTAACATTTTTATTATTATTATTTTTATCGTAGTAATTAGTATCGTGGAAGTTCTTATTCTAAACTATCCAGATTCAAAGGAAGTTATTTTAATAGAATTATTTCATTTTGCTTATTAAATAATTTCTTTGAAACTTGTTTATTATATTAATATTATATTCTTTATGTAAATTATTTGCTTATCACAAGCGCGTAATTAATAAAAATATTAAAATTTATAAACGATATTTATCATGAATTTGAATTAATGGACATAGGGTAGATATATTAGCATTGGTAACAAAATTTGACATAAGCAAAAACTCAAATGTTTTATTTAATTTATATTTATTAATGCATTGATAATTGCAATAATTATTACTGAAAATACAATAGAAATATACATATATAGAAGAAAGTTTTGATGAAAGAACATGAGACGACAACATTAGAAAATACTCTTTTAATTTGAAATATAAATAAAACATAATATTCTTAATTACAATTCATTGTCTTATAATTACAAAGCATTAAAATTATACTTTACAGCTCAAAACTGAAAAATGTATAAATTTTAGTAATAAGTACGAATAAATCGAATTTAATTTATATGATTTTTACAAATGGTAAGAGATCTTTGATCTTGTTTTTTAAATAGTAATTTTAAATCTTGTGTATATAAAATATCATTTTTTCATTATAATCTTATTATAAACTGCATCTATTTGTGATACTTATAGTAAAATTAATTAATGGTATATGGCTTATTAATATTTAAATTTACTTCAATATTAATTAAAAATAATTTTATTTTATGATTTAATGCATTAATTAAAAACAAGAATAATTTAAAAAGTTATATTTTTTAAACAAGAATTCTTTCAAAAAAGAAACTATATAATAAATGAAAACGTTATATAAAATTACATAATAAAAGTATTTTTTTATTAGATATAGTTAACTTTTATAAATATATTTGCTTAAAAATTGTCAAATACTGTCTGAATACAAAAAGTAAATCCAGAAGTATTTTGAATTCGGGCTGCGGAACGAGATTTCATAAATGAATGACGGGCTTGAAATTGGTTAATTTTCGATCCTTTTGCGTACGCTACGTCGTATAAGTCGACACGGTAAGTATAAAATAACCGCTGGACTTTATTAACAATCGCGGTAACTTGTGATTTAGACAGAAAGAATCAAGGAAACATGACTCCGTATACTGTGTTTGTTTTCTTGGCACTTAGCCTCATCATCACTGATGTAAGTTGAACACAGAACTTTTGCTTTGAAATGTAATACAATATAAGTATAATAAAGTAAAATTTATTTAACTTAAAAAACTACTACATTCACTCTTTCTTGATGTTGAAACTATTGTAATGATTATTTCTTCAGTATCAAAATATGTTGCTTAATATTATTAATATCATAAATAATAATATTAGTTTATCTTTTTAATATTTCATTAATTATTTTACATATAAATAAAATTTTAAATACATTTTAAATAAAATAATTATTTTAGGTACGAGTAAAATCATATTGTTTAATGGAATACTTGAATATTTTAATATGCAGTTTAAATTAATATTCAATTAATTTTATATTAAAATCTAAGAAGATATTTAATAATTTAAGAAAACTATTTATTTTTTTTTATTTTGTTATCTTATAAAAGCTAAATAGATAAACGATTATAAGATATATGTTATAATTCATTCTAGATTTTATGTATAATTTAATTTAAAATCTCTACTTATATTCCATAGGATATTATTTTAATGTTTAATATATCGTATTTTTAAATTTTATTCAAATATTATTTTATTTAACAAAATTATTAAATTTTACTAACAATTTTAACATAATTTTAGTAAAATCCATGGAGTAATTGAATAGAAAATACGTTATAATTGTATTGAATCTAAAAAAAGTTTTAAAGTAGTACTTGTTAAAACGTTAAAATAGTAACTAACCAATTTACGTGTTTGTAATTCGAATTTTTCGATAAATAATATAAAGAGAATATATATTTTTTTGTATTAAAAAATTTTTTTATTGGTATTATATACATAACAGTATTTAACATAATAATATTTTAAAAATCAAATTTCATAATTTAAAGAATTTTACTTTATATTTAGATTAATATTAATAAACAAAAGTTTATATTTTATTTTAATTAATAATTATACAAATTTTTCTATAAATAGCTGTAAATATTCTTTTTTCTATATATCCAATAATATATTATTATTAATTTATTAAAATTATTTTCATATTTAACATGATTTTAAAGATTATTCCAGTCGAAGCACGTTATAAATCGTATCAAAGACGTAGGGCTTCAAGATTTCTAAGGCAAGTAAGTATTAAATGGTTTATAATGAAAAAAAGGTATTTCTCATTATTAGATAAACTATATGATTTTTTAAATCTAATTTTTATTTTATTTTTGTATAACATTTTTTATTTTCTAGAGGTAGTAGATTGTACAAATATTTAATTAATATGGGGATTTATATTACCAAAGAGTATAAATATAATTAAGCTTGTGATATTTACCTATACGTATAAATTGTAGTTACTGACTTCTTGGTTATATAGTTAATCAAGTATTTTTAAAAGGAGAATTTTAATTACTTAATTAAAATTATACCGATTACAATTATTATTATTCTATTATTGAAAATAAATTCTACTGAATTTTATGCTGAATATTTTAAATGTAACCCTTTCATAAATGGCGTGGAAAGTTATTCTCATCAATATTTTGTTTATATCAATTTTATTAACTGTAATGAATACATACGCAACCACAACCACACAGCTACACAGCCACGTAACCGCGCATGCACACACAGACACACACATGAATACGTAAGGAAATATATCGTGATGATTTTCCATTATAACTATATAAAATACTATATAAAATAAAATTTTCCATTTTCAACAACTATCCATATATACTATAAATTATTTCTTTAAGCGGCGACAATTCGATGAAGATTTGGGAGACACCGGAAATGCGTTCCAACAGAAATTGATTGATGTCTTAATTCCGGCAGTTTCACAAACTATATATGCAATCGTAAATGATCCAGCATTCGGGTCTTGTACTTCTTCGTTACGTAGAAGAAATGCTAATTATAATTCTAATACAAACATTAATACAAATACATTTGCTGATGCAATGGGAAGGCAAGGAGATTTGGACGAATTGGATATAATAGACGACGATCCAGAAATTGGTAAATAATAATAACATCATAGTTCCTTCAAAAAGATTCTCATTGTCTCATTCATTAAGTATTATGGTATGTATTTAGATTTATTATAAGAAAGTTCACTGTTATGCATTACAAATTATATAATATTTTAAGAAAAGGACGGCAATATTAAATATATATATATATATATATATTACATATATACATATATATATATGTGTGTAAGAAAATAATAACAAAAACTTTAATTAAAAGAAAAAAATTTATATAAAATTAAAATAAAATAAATATTTTATTGGATGGAATTTTTAAATAATTTAATTTTTATTTATTATTTTTATTAAAATATATAATATTTATAAAAAAACCTATCTTTTAATATGTCGATTGATCTAAACAGAAAATGAATTTACAAATATTCGAGTATTAAAATATATTCGAATAAAATAAAAATGTTTTAAATTTTATTGCAAAGCTTCAAAAAACGTTTTATAATTGTTCACGTATAAGATATAAATTATATTTTTTAAATATTTAATTTAATTTATAAATAATTAAATCAACTTTTAACGTTTAATGTATAAAATTACGTATAATATTTATTTTATAATATAATAAAATAGTCAAACACAGATAATAATTTGTATTTGTTCATATAAAACAAATTTTTCGTGTAATTTAATAATCATTGAAATGTTTTGAGTTTATTTCAATAAAAAAAAAGTTTATACTCTATTGATATTTCATAAGTTTAAATAGCATTATAATTGATTAAGTAATCAAATAAACAAAATTTATTTATAAATTCTATGGTTCTCTTTAAAAAAATTTTAGAATTATACAGTTCACTTTAATTTAGATTAGTTCAATATGCTTCCCTGATTACAAATTCATTAAAATTACCATTGCGTGTATTTTCAAATATTACTTATGTATAATGTAATTACAATATAGCTGTATTTTATTTTTTACTTTTAAATATATTTATTACTTTTTAATAGTTTTATCCAAGAGTTAAGTTTTTATATTAAAAATTTTCAAAATAGGAATTAACTTTCATTGATTTCTAATGTATTTTATTTTTAATATTTTTATTATAAAAATAATTGATTATTAAATTGCAATTTTTATATTTCCCTATATATTAAATTAATTAAAGTTATGTGTAAATTTTTCAAAATGTTCAAAATTATTAAAAGGATATAAATGAAAAAGAATTATTTTCAATTTGATTTAATATATTCATTTTTTAGTACGTAGAGTATACAACAAAAATAAATATACTTTTTAGTTGGTGACGAAGACATTATAAATTTAAATAGTGATGATATTGAAGATGATATTGCAAGTAAACGCAGTGTAAGTAAATTCATAATTATTACGAATTCTACCTATAATAATTTTGTCTTAATATTATATCGTGAAATTAGTTTCAATCACTTTAATTGTTAGTGTAAAATTGATATTCCTCATTCAAAATTTCGATAATAAAAATATTTTTTTCAATATGATTTAAATTTTAAATACACCAATTGAATTAATCTTATTTTCAAATATAATATTTTTTTAGTTTTAAATAAAATAAAAAATGATATTTCATCAACTAATATTATTTGTTTTAATTTTTTTATTTTATTGATTATTTTCATTAGTATAGGAAAATTAGTTGTATTCGATTGAAAATCTAATAGTATAAAATGTATATTGTAATAATGTTTTATAATTTATTTTGAATGATTCTATGATTTTTTACAATGTTTAATCATTAGTCAAAATAAAGCTTCAATAAGAATTTTTTTAATTTATAATTTAGAACTTAAGTTAATTAAAATAATTTAGTTAATGTAAAGTTTTAATTAGTTTAATTTATAAATAGTTTTAAATAATGTGTAGAAACAAATGAAATTCATTTTTGTACATGGAGATACTTCTAAACACCATTCTTATAGATTAAATAATATTTTGTAAATTTTAGTACTTCTCTTAATTATACTATATTTCCAACCTACATTTAAAATACTATAGTTAAAAATAAACTATATTATTGTTTATTGTTTCTCAAACTAAATTTTTTTTACTTAATATAGAATATTTTTATACGATATATTTTAAATAATTAATTTCAGATTCTGAAGTTAGTTATTAAAATATTTACGGTTATTAAAATATTATACTGAGTTTCATTTTTTTTCTGAAATTGTAATATACACTGCATCACATTTTTCATTCTACATATCAATTCTTAGTGTTTGAATTTAGTTATTAAGAGTAATATAATCAAAGGAATAATTAAAAGAAGTAATGTAATCATGGAATAATGAATCATGATAAAGGAGTGACAATAATTTTGAATAATTAATGATGATTAATGTTATTTAAAAATTATTTTTTAATATGAAATTTTTTTTTCTTTGAATATACCTTTTATTTAGGAATAGATTTTTTTTAGTATCTTATATAAATACTGTAATTACAAAAAGTAAAATTTCTATCATTTATATAAATTTTTCAAAATCATAATTACGTTAAGAAATTAAAATTTTAATATTCTAATGAAGTACTTTTTTGATAAAATTAAATTAATATAATAATCATACATTTTTATTCTACTCAATATCTTTATCTATTAATTTATTTTAAATAAAACAAATATTTATGAAGTTCAAATAATTTATTAATCATTAAAAAAAATTGAATTTTAATCATTAAAGATATGAATTAAAGAAATGAACGAAGAAATAAATTATATAAATTTTTTTTATATATTTAAAAAATCTTATGTTTTAAATTCTTATTTAAATGAATTATAAAATATTAATTATATGCAATTTATTATAATTCAAATGAGCTGAATAAAGTTAAAATAATATTCAAACTAATAATTTTATGCAATTTTCATATATAAATATATATGTCATAAAAAATGCATTATTATGTACTGTCATTTTCAGATTAAAAGAAGGCTGCTGAGAGCTAGAAGAAGAAATCGAAATAGTAATGTAAACGTAAATCAAAATTATAACGCCAGCGCTCGTAAAGAAGAGACCAACACTAATCCAAGTGCAGAAGCATCTAATGAAGAAGAAACTACGACTGAAGTATCGAATCGCCGTCGTCGACGTAACTTCAAATAATTAAATTCAATGCATTCTCAAATTTATTTGCCTTGAGATGGATATTTTATTGATTTGTAAACATTATGAAAATTTATAACAAATACAATGTTTCACATATCACATATTTTGCATCATTTATCATTCCTTTTCCTATTTTACTATTTATGTTATAGTCATATTTATATAACGAAATTATAAATCTACTATAACTAAAATTAGAATTCATTTTTATAGTGTTTTTTAATTATAATTCCTAGTTATTTTAATGTTAATTTTATTATTATATATAATTTGTATAATTTCTATAATCATTTTTAATAAAGTATTAAATTGAATAACGAAAATAAAAACTATAATGGTACTTTATTATACTGAGAAATAATATATAATTTAAGTAAAGGAAATTTTTTTAATTTATAATTTATAATTATTTATTTTTTATTTTTTATTTCAATTTTTAATATATAGTATAATATATTATGTTTATAATAAATTTACAATAATTCGATTAAAAATAATAAGTAATGGAATTACTTTACACTGTTAAATTCTAACAAAATTACATTGAAGTCTTAATTTTACAGATTTTAACTGTTATTAAAATAACAGATAGATAAAAATAATTTGTTTATTGTTAAAAAATTACGATTAATAAACCACTCTATATTTACTCAGGCATAGTAATATTATAATTTATTTTCTAGAATTCATCAAACGCGAAGAAAATTTCTATTTTTTTTAATTGGATTAAGATAATGACTTAAGGAATAATATTATTATAATGATTAATTTAAAAATTCATTTGCTTGTCATATAAGAAATTTATAACGCTATTGATATTAATTTTAAAGCATAAAAATCTTTTATAAATAGGGATAACTATAACATAACTATATAACTATATATATATCTTACATAAAATATAAGTGTGGTGAATGAATGTACATTAAATTTGTATAATATTAGTCTCTATTATGATTTATTAATAAAATAAATTAACCTACTTTTAATATTTTTTAATATTATTTCTTATAATAAAATTATTATACTATTTTAATAAATAAAAATAATTAATGCATATATTTATATTAGAAATATAAATAACAATAATATTACTATATTTATAGGGATTTCAAAAATTCTGGTATATAGTTAATATTACAATATGTACATGCTTAAATTTATCTATTAATATAATTATTGTTGAGCTTATAGAATGGGAACTATAAAAATATGTAAAATTAAAAATTATATACATTTAGTAAAACTTTCATAACATAAGATTATCGAATTTGTTTAGATGTATATAATTTTTATCGTATAGAAGATAGATCCATGAGCAATTATTTTACAACTACTTTTACTTTACTGTATGATATGTAACTATAAATTTTGTACGAGAATTAGTAGGACTAAAAATAGAAATGTAATGAAGATAACAGATTAGTTGCAAAAAATAATATACTTAATTATTAAAGAACAGCTCAACTACTTTGATTGAGCATAAATAACTTATCATTTGTCATATTGAGTTTTTTAACCATTGTTAACAATTCTCCTCATCAGCGAATGAAGGATGTATCGAATGCATTGTGAAATCCAATATAATAAATGTTAGCTATAAAATTAATCTATATAATAAGAATGATCACTTCAATAAAATAGTTTAGAATTATAAAATCCATTGAGTTAACAACAATGTTATTGTTCTCGTTCATCCTAGTTTTCATTTGGATATTAAATTTAGTAGAACCGGTATATATTTACAAAATTTTTTTAATAGTTTAAAATACTTAAAATTTAATTAATATTCAAATTAAAATAAATAATACATGGTAATCAATATTTTAGAAACAATACGATATAAAAGGTTTGATTGAAAAATATTTAGATGACAATAATTATCCGATTTCAAATTTAGAAGAAGAATCTTTCCCTGCTATGCAGCAAGTTATGATTTATCCTGATAGTTATCCAATAAAAATAATTATTCTGTCACCTGTTAAGTTTTCACAGCAGCCGTGTTCGAATTTGGTAAATATATATTCTAATTATATTAATTTATAAAATAAATATTTATAGAAACTTTAAAAAAATTAATAAAAACTTAATCATATTATTACTGAAAATTAATATTAATAAAAAAAACAGAAAAATCTATTAAATTAATAAAATGAACTAATGTAGTAGAAACGTAATATAAAAAAATACTTTCCCAGTGTATTGTTCCATTAATTCAAATTCCTATAAATATTTTACATTTATATATCAGAATTTCAAAACAGGCCAAATTGGTAGACGAACATTAATAAAACCGCAAACACAAAAGGAAATAATGAGAAAAACATCTGACAAAACATTAATGCAATTTTTTGAAGTAAGTAGTAGTAATAAAAGTTTCAATTTAACTTACATATTAAAATTTTTAATCATTTCTTAAGAAAGCTGGACTTTCCTTGCCAGCATTACCACTTATACCACCGACATCACCACTAAGGAAAAAACGAAAGCTGAAAATGAATAAAAAAAAATCTAAAAATAGATACGAGAATAAAAATATTGAACACGATAATGATAACGATGATACTAATGATAAATCTAATGATAAATACACAGAAGGTGACCGAAAAGCTCTTTATTTATTTGACAATAAATTTATTCTTTCAAAATGAAACATTATTATTATAAATAATTTCAAACAACTATTGTTACAGATAATACACAAACATTTAGAAAAGAATCTCAAGCTGTATGTATACTAATTTAAATGTTCCTTAATATATAATATGTATAAAAATATAGAGATATGTATAAAAAAAATCAAAATGTTTCTTTTTAGGGATTGCTTTCTGATAATATAAATTCTGATGAAGATGAATCAACTTCATCGTATGAATCTAATAATGAAAATTATAATTATAATTTTAATGTACTTAGTCCCCGACGAAATAGAAATATAAAAGTACAAAGGAAAAAATTAAATAAACCATATGATTTACACAGCAGTTTATCATTTTAAGATAAATTTCAATAAATTGAAACAAATTCAATGTAATAAATATTAAGTTTTATTAAATTTAATATTTTCAAAAAAATTTTGAATAGCAGATTATGAAAATTATAATTAGATTACTTTGTTTATTTCCATAACTCATTTCCAAATGCTATTTCATTAAAATTAGATAAGATCAAATATATTGAAACTTTACATATATAACTTATATGAATAATATTAATTCGTTAATTATTATCTTCTATGATTACGGTCCCTAATATTAGTTACTGTTTAATTATAATCACATGATTTTAAAAGATATATAGCTATATCTAATAGATTTTAAAGATTATAATAGTCAGTATGTGATAAATAGAATCATTCGTGAATTGATAGACAGAAGAGTATAATTAAATAAAAGTATGTATAATGCTATTGACAATACTTTTGTAAACAAATTCTCAATTTTAATTTCATATTTTCAAAATATTATATTAATTATAAATAAAATATATAAGAAATATAATTTCAAATAAATATCTATATTTAATTTTTTAAAAGATAATTGTTAAATTTCATTTATGAAAATATTAAGAACTTAAAAGTTTATCAGAATTTACTAAATGAAAAATTAATAATAAATATTTAAAATATTATGTATTACTTAATATAATTACAGCACTATTATTGATAATATCATTATAAAATTTAGTCAGTGGATTTATTCAAGAAATTTATAAATATTTTGATTTTAATACGTTTTTACATATATTTTAATATTAAAAATAATGCAATTATAATTTTGAAACAAATTTTATAAGTATATCATAAAAGCAAAACAAAAATTATTAAAAATTTAATCAGTAACTCTACTTATAATATAACAATAAAAAATTTCTTTAAAAATGAAATCCATAATATATAGATTAATTGCTTCGAGAACAACACAAAAATTAAGAGAATATCTTTATATATAAAGAATAATGGCACGATTATTTATATATCAGTGATTAGAGATTTATTTTATAATAATTTTCATACCAAAATCATATATAAGATTTTGTAACATATCAAATAAAAAAATCTATATTTCAAAAACTATAATGTTTAACCTACTTATCAAACAAATATTTGGAGTAAGGAAACTCATTTAACCATAAATATTATTATCGATAATGGAGTCATATCAAATGATCAATTTAACATAAAAAATAATAGACTGTAGTCTGCAATTTGATGAAACTCGAAATTATACTTTCTATAATAATTTATAATGAGTGAAAATTAATTTATAGAATTTATGACATCTTTCAATTTTATTATTTTAATAAAATTATGGAATTTGAATATTGAAAAAATAACGGATAGAAATTACTTAAATATAAAATATTTCTAAAGGATTTTTTTATTTTCGCTCTACGTAAGTTTTCATTCTTAATATTTAGTATAATAAAATTTCACGAGACATAAAAAATATATATATTTATATATATCTATAATATTTTAAACTTTTATATTAAAATAGTATATTCAAGTATTAAAATTTTTTCTCATTTTTATATTTCTTCTATCTTTTATTTGCTAAAATAATAAAATTATAATTTAATATTATAAAATAATTAATTTGTAAATATTAATTTATTGTAAAATTACATCGTAGTGAAATAATGTTTTATAAAAATAGATCCAGATATATTTATTATATACAGAAGTCGTATTTATTATAGGATTTTCTATTGGAATTATCTTGGAATTTATTGGAATAATGCTTTTAAGCATTTTAGAAATATTTTTCAAGAAAGCTTGTAACTTCTATAATTTATTATATTTTTATATATCTCATATTATACCTTAATTCTATAATTATTTTAATATTAAAAATTCCACCATTCATCCATAAACGAGAATCTGAATTAAAGCAATTTTTTATTTTTCCATAGTAACACGATTCTTAATATTTACAATAGTTCTAATAGGATTAAATATAAAAACTTTTAAGGAGAAAATATTCTTTTTATATTTATTACTGCTATATTTTAATAAATAATAAATACTTTAAGATAATAAAAAATTAATTAAAATATATTTTTAAACAAAATATAAATTTTCAAATTGTTAACCGAACATATAAGATATATATATGACATTATAAATTAAGATTAATAGATTAAATAAAAATAATAGATATTGTATGAGACAGTGTTATGTATATGATTGATCATTTAATTTATAGTACATTCAGTTTAAAACATTATTATAAATTTCATAAGAAGATACTTTATCTACCTGCATCACTACATATAGAGCTACAATATAATGTTCTTGGTAATTTAATGAAATCTCTTTCTAGAAATTAATGAATATATAAAGAAAAATTGATCATCTCTATTAAAGTGTAATAATAAGTATGTGTCACGATGCGTATGTTAGGGATAAATAGATGCAGGATTCTTTATCGTCCATTTAAACATCTAAACAGCTTTTGTTCTTTTTATACAATCCGTTTTCCTTAATCATTTTCCTTATTCTACAATAATCATATCCAACGCCATGTTTTCCATTCAACATAAATCATAACGAACACAATTTATATATGTAAGTCACTGACGTGTCTGCATGTTACAAAATCCTTAATTCAGTATTAAATTTATATATTATAAAATATAATTTTGAATTCATTAGTCAATGTACTTTATATCAATTAAAATTTAATACTTTTTCAATAAAAAAAATATTTATTAAAATATCAGAGGGTATACATTTCGATATAAATTTTGTTTTTATTTTTAAATAGTACTATTTTTATTTAATCATGACAAACTATTATTCCATAAAACATTACAAAAATTATACATGCATCAGTAAATTATTCATACATTAAAACTATTTTTAATTTAAATATGTAAATTTGATTATTAATTATGAGATTTACAATTATCTCTGTTTATATAGGTTAATATTAAATTTTATTTATTTATATAACTTAAAAATGAGACGTTGAATAAAGTATCGTCATAATTATAATTATTATCTTTATATTTATTATTACATTAATACAGAAAGAAAATTTTTATTTTTATTTCATATTTTTTATATTTTTATCTAATCAACAATACTATTACTCATAAAAAAATATTTGTTTAGACACTTCACAGTATTCTTATTCTTATTAATTAAGATAATCCGATTAATTTTTAATAGTAAATGATATTTGTATTTTCTTTTTCAAATTATGGTAGTTACCTTTTATTAAGAAAAGATTTACATTTATCATAAAAATTATTAGCAAGGTCAAGATAATAATTAAAAAAAATACTGAGTCAGTATTAACCCTCAGATTATTAGGAAAAAATTATGAACTAGCGACAATACGATTTACAATTAAATTTTACTTATTAAAATCTAAAATGCTTCTACATAGATATAATTTAAACAAATTCATCAATAATTAATCATTAGTATTCTTTGGAATGATATACTTACAGTTCGAAACTTTTTTTTATAAATGTACTAAATAATCCGTTAAAAATTTCGTATTAAAACGAAATTAAACACTTTGTATACAATATTTCTGTAATGTTTATTTTAAAAAATGTTCGTGTAAAATTGTAATAATTGTAACTTTGAACAGATACTCACATATTTACTTAAATTATAGCGAGCGATTTTATTTTAGACAAATCACAATAAGACGCTTAAAATATAATTAATATTTACTTTATTTCATTTGAATTACTAACAATTGGAGGAATTAATATAACAATATTTACTGTTTACACAGTTTGTCTATACATTTTCTAACACAAAATATTGTTAATTTAATTAAATTATATGTAAAGATTTGAGAATAAAGAATTAAAAATTTTTTTAAAAATTATACTCAATAAATTTTGTTTAAAACATCTATAATGCAATCTGTAAATAAATTCGGTGTTAAAAATTGTGATCGTTCTTAATTTTTTATAACATCTCTATTATAGCATTTAAAATTTACGCAATATAAAAAAATTTTTTAATTCATATATAAAATAAAATATATAGGTTTACGCTAAATCGTATATTATAATTTATGTGTTATAACATAAAAATTGAAATTTATTCTTCTTATATGTAAACATAAAATATATTTTATTATTATTAAAATTGTAATTACAGTTCTTAAGTATTAATACGATTATAATAATTATACGAAATAATTAAGTGAAATTTATTGTAAGTATTGCATAATTTAAAAATGTATCAAACTATCTCAGCTTTAAAAATAAAATATTCTCACCCAGGATAATTTAGTTTTTATTATTTAGCAATGAAATTAATTTTTATAATAATACGTTCATTACTAATGATAATATAGTAATACTATAAAATAATAACAATACTTCTTACATTATTATTTAACAAATGAAAATGAATAATAAATTAAAATAACAATTTTTTATTTTCCTAAAAATAATAAATAAATAAAAAAAATAGGAATCTTTATTATAGTATTATAGTATTATACGTATAGTATTATAGTAATAGTAGTAGTAGTAGTTGTACTAATTCTATAGTAAATTTTTCTTTATTTTTATTAATTTACTATTATTTAATTAGGTTTAAATGACCTAAATCAATGACAAATAAATAATTTCATAAAAATATTTTTAATATATTTTGGTGTAAACTTTTTAGGATATTACTTTTGATAGATATTTTATTTATATAATAAAAAATTATTTTAAAAAAATTATTTTTTCTTATGAATTATAAATAATCTATTACTGAATGTTTTTCCTTCTTTATACAATTGGCTAAAAATCTGTAATATTCACTTAATTTTTACTATATTTATAAAATTTAAGTCGAATTTCTTTCTAATTTTACGATTATTATAAATTAATAATAGTATAATTTTAAAAGTGAAATAAATTGAATGTTTATATTGTAAAAGTGCTTTATACAAATTTGATAAACAGGATTAAAGACAAATATTATAATTTTAAACTACAAAATAATTAGTTTCAAAATTTAAATATATAATAGGAATTAATATAATTAATAATTTTTTTAACATTTTTAATTAAAGTTCGAACAATTTTTTTTTAGTTTACAGATATAATAAAAACATATCGAAATATAATGCTTTGAATTTAATGAAATTCTTTTATTTTTATAATTACAGCATATAAATATTTGACATGATAATGATTTGAAAAAATATGTCTATTATACATTTATCTTAATTATATATTAGATGAACAAAAAAATAATGCACAATACAAAATTTTTGAGAATATAAAAATGAATTTTAGAATAAAATTAATTATTGGAAATTATTTTAATAAAAATAAAATAATAAAAAAAACTTTATTTTTTATAATAAAATTATTAAAAAATATTAAATTAATAAAAGATTAAGAAATTACTATTGACTAAATATTGAGTATTAATCTAAAATATAATTAATAAAATGTATTGATAACAAACATAAACTGAGAAAAATTATTATATTGTCATTTATTTCACTTGTAGAATATACTGTAATAAAATATAAGCCTCGAATTTTCATTTTTTCTTCATCTTCCATTGTTGGTTTATTCTATTTTCTAATTTAACCTTACATTCACATTTTCGATAACTATGTACATACTTTTCGTAGTCATTACCATTATAATTTTGTTCTTTAACCTCCTCAAATTTTGTAAAAATATATCATTGTTTAAAATTTGCTTTAAAATTAAAGCAACGATGACCATATTATATATTTTCCTATAACTTATGTAATTCGTTTCTTGCTAAAATTACCAAAGGAATATAAGTTTATATTATTATAAATAAAAAAAAGTTTATAAAATAAATCTGTATTTATTATTAATATTTAGAACTTCAATTCAGCAGAAATTATAATTTAAATATTATAATTAATCACTTCAATATTTTTATAAGGTATTCTATGCACGTTTTCATTTTTCGTACCTGTGACAGCTGTAAAATAATTAATTTTCTTAATGAATATAGGAAGATGTTCATTTAAATTCCTCAGGTATGCAAAATTGAAGATCGAAAAAGTTAATTAAAAAACAGATAATATATTTTTATACATATATGAAAGGTTAATTATAATTTTGTTAAAATACATAAAATATTACAAAATTTTCTTTTGAAATATATACATTTATTTAAATGAAATTGGTTTAATTCGGTACATACATATTTTATAATTATATAATGAATTTACAAAATATATTTTATAATAAATATTTTATAAATTCATAATATATGAATTTGACAGAAGTATGTATCTATCATCTATGTATTTTGTATAAACGATATATCTTAAATTTTTATGTTCAATGCTTATATTTCACTTTATTTCATATTATATTTTTATAAAAATTTAATTGCTTATTCAAAATTAATAAAAAATATACTTTTATTTTATTTATTTTATTATTAAAAATTCATGAATTTTTAGTAAATAGCAAAGCTTTATTTTAAAAAATGGACCAGTAAAATATGAATAAAATATTAGTAAAATATTACATATTTAGAATTATATTTTATTTAAAAAAAAAAATACATTCTCATAAATTTATATTCATTTTATATTCAGTGCCTTCATTTTCATTTGGACAAATTTTATATTATTTTTGAGGCTTCACATAAATATATCATGGAATAAGTATTTTCATTTATCTCAATGATATGGTTTTATAAATAGGTAAATATTTACTTTAGTTTTGCTGTAATGTACTGAAAATAGTATTAGGTAATTAATTTTTGTAGAATAAAATGTGATTAAATTTTATAATATAAAAATGTTATTGAATAATTTCTTCAGTTTCAAAAAACAGCCATTAATTAGTTTCCATATTTACCACCAATGATTGTATAAAATTGAGATATTGTTACATTTGTAAACCTTATACAGATTATAAAAAACTTTTCATTATATAATCAAATAAATTTGATAAAATGTAATTATGTAAATATGAAATGTAAATAACATTTACTTTTTTTAATAATTGAAATAAATAAAATAAGATTTTAATGAGTATTTCCATCTATTTACATATATTACAAAGAAATATCTTTCTCCATTTCTTTTTAATATTAAGAAGTAATGAGGTAATTATCCAACTCCTATTATATTGTGCTTTCATATTTCATGCTAAATTATAATTAATGGTTTAACTATCATTTAAATAAAAAATTTAAATATTCAGAAATATTACCATCATTCATTATTATATGATGAAATTTTATTTTAACCATTATTTAGATAAGAAAAGTTTAGACTTTTGTTTGTTTCTCCATTTTTAAAAAACTAACGATAAAAATACAAATAATGAATATAGTATTGATTTTAATTAATTAATAATAACAAATTTTTCATTAGTTTCACTAAAATTTATATATAATTTTAACTAAAATTTATTATAAATTATATTATATACATATAAAATATTATTTTAGGATTATTAAAATGATTTCAATTCATAATATTATAATATCAAATATTAAGTTAGTATAATTTATTTAGAAGTATGGAGTTTCAAAAATTAGAAAAAAATTTGTTTATATAACTTTCATAAATTTTATATAACATTTACTGTTTTAGAAAATATTTCTAAAATATTTATTATTCAGTTTTAGAACATATTTATTTTTCATATTATAGATGTTAGTCTTTATAATATAAATTTCTAATTTATATTTCGAAATCATACTAAAGAATTTCTTTAGTACAATATTTTACTATAGTGATGTTAATAGAAAAAGATATTAATTCGTTTTTTCCTATAGATTACTTATGATTTCATTGAAATCATTTTATTCATATCTACAAATCTTTTGAGTATAAATACTTAAAGATCTTTATTAATTAATTCAATATATAGTTTCCTGTGTTATTACACGACGTAAGTTTTTATTTATCTATGAAATTCATACTCATGTGTGCTTATACCAAAAAATAAAATATAGGCTTCTAGCTCCAGATCCGTCAATGAATAAATGGTTGTCATATAATTAGCTGTTTAAACACAGTATATTTTATATGTTGTTTCATAAGTACTCATTATCTATAGTTTGAATATCTTGAGTCTTGAGATTTCTCATCTCCTCTGAAGTACCCACCTTGTGTTCTTGCTCATCCACAAAATTTATGCTTCCAGCCTTGTACCAAACTATCATATCAACGATAAAAGCTAACGCCAAAATACCACCAGTTGTACCTGTTAGAGCGAATAAATTCATTAGTTGTTATTTATTTCTTTTGATACTAATCTATTGAAAATACTAACAAAATCATTAAATTTAAAATCATTAAATATTCCATATAAGAAATGCATATACGATTTATTTAATTTTTATGTAATCTAAAAAAAATAACTTAACTGTAGTTTATAAAGTTTAATATAATACATATAATTATGAAATATAATCACGATTTATTTAAAATTTTTGGTAATTAAATTATTATTATTTTTATCTGTATAACTTGAAATATAATTACTTTCTTCACTGTTCGGACTGACTTAATTACTATATTAATTGTGTTAAGGTTATTTGAAATGCATAACTTATCATGTAATACATTATAAAAATATTTATGCAATAAATATAATAAATAATGAATTCTTAATAAGTATAAATGAAATTAAGTACAATAACTATCAATTACATTAATTAAATAATTGAAAAACTTGCTAACAAAAGTATAATATATACAATTTTATTTATTGATGAAATTTAATTATATTCTCTTCTTGAAAGTATAAATAATTCTTGCTTATTCTTTTTACGTTATAAATTAAAATTAATTTATTTACATAGTAAATTTTTTTAATGTTTTAAAAAATGTTAAATTACATATCTTTAAATTAATGAATATTTATAATATATTTAATTTACATGAAAAATAAAATGTCCGAATAATGTTAGGAAATAATTGTTTATCTTCGTATATATATGACAGTACGAAATAAATATTTGGGTTTAAGTAATCACTGTTAAATCAAATACCATGAAAAAACATCCTAAAGACATTGGAATCATACAACCAACAAGCTCCACGTTCACCGCAGGAGTATTCCCAAACGAGGCAGGCGGAATCAACAACAGCGCCGTACACTATTGGACAGGGCACATTACCTAAAAATTTTGTTCTAAATTAATCCATAATCTTTGTCTTAATTATGTATTATATACAAAATGTGTATAATAGAATACTAAATAAAAATTGAAATATAGTTCATTGACTGATGTAAAATTACACTTAGAAAATATTGAAATTCCATATAAAACATTATTAAAAGAATTTTTATTTCCAAATTGTAATTATATATAAATAATAAATTTATCTTTAATATTTAAAAAATATTTTATAATGAATTATTTAATCGCGCAATAATATTGTAATTATATTTCTTTTATACATGGTAAATATTAATTTTTCACAATATAAAATCCAAATTACATTTATATGCTTATTTTTTTACTAGAAAAAATATTAACAGAACATTTTTATACTGATTATTGATTATTCAACTTTTTTATTTATTTTATTTTTTTAAATAAAACACCGGCTTTTATAAAATCCATAATACATTTATATAAAATAAAATCAATAATATATTGATAGATTTATTTAACAACTGAAAAAATACAAGCAGACTTTAAAATATTTATATTTATTTTCGCAAAAATAAAAATGTAACAATATTAATAAAATTAATTTCTATTGAAATATTCATATATAGATTTAAGTACAGTTTAACTATAATTATTTTTCAGATTAGTTGTTTTTATATATTAACAATTTATTTATTTATATTTTAACACCTGTGTTTACAACTGGATGCATTAATTTGTTATATTACGCAAATAAATCCTTTTATTACAAATTTTAACTTTATAATAATTTAAAAATTATAAACTTCATTAAATTTAAACAATTATAAATTAAATTTCATTTCAAATTAAAAAAAATACATGCATATGTATCTATCTTTCAAATCATATCTTACCAAATAAGCCAATCGCAAATTGTATGAGACCAAGAGCCATCGCCTTATCTCGCGGATCAACACAGCGCAGAATAAGAAGCATCGAACCAACCTCACTCGTCGAATGAATAAAAACGAAGACAGAGAACAAAATTAGATATATGTAGAAATTATTGCAATCAAGAGGACAGTAGCCGGTTTTCGCTATGGCTGCAATTTCTAATATCGTGTGATTTTTTCTAATACATTGACAATCTGTGAACTGTACCAAAAAACATGGAACACTACATAAAAATTTATATATTTATTAATTATATCGATAAATGAAAATATGATTAATTTATTATAATGCTATGTAAAAGGATTGGAATTGATTAAATCATGTTTTCATAACATTTAAATTTTACAAATATATCTTAGATACACTTTAGATTATTTTAATTTTTAGTAATATTAAATATCTAAAAATTATATATATATATATATATATATATATATATGTATATATATATAAATGCAGCAAATTCAATCGTTTATTTCATGCATTAAAACTTGAATTCTATCTTTGCTAATTTCATCAATATATAACAAGATAAACTATATAATCAATACAACATGTAAGACAATAAATACGTAAAATACTTTATAATAACATAATATTATCGAAATATTAAAGATTCAATTTTCTAAATTTATAAATATCATAAATGTCACTAGTTAATTATATGTTTGATTACACATATATAAATATTTATTTTTTAATATAGTTTCATAGCTATGAATTTTTTGCGTACGTTTGCTACTTTTCCTTCGAAAACTGTGTAATTGGAACAACCCGCATGACAAGCTGAAAAGTATGTTCTGCCATCCATACCACAAATCGGACTGAATTTATTTTTATCACAATCGCAAGTTGCCTCACAAATAGGCTCAAAATGAGAAGATCTGGAAAATAGTAAAAATCAATAATCTTATTAAAAAAAATTTATTCAATTTTATAAATTTCAAGAATTAAGTTGAAATTAAAAATAAAAATAATTTGTATTTGTTATATTATTATACCTTTACAAAATTATTAAATATAAAAAAGATGAAGTATTTGATTAATTATCAATAGTTTCAATAATGTAGTTATATGTAGTTTATATTAATATTATTAATTTAGTTTAATTATATTTATAATTTAAAGACATACTTTTATTTCAATTAAATAAAAGATTTAAAATAAAAATCAAAAATGTTTTATGTATTTTTAATTTTACCCTTCATTATTTGTAACGAGTCCAGTAAAATCATTCATTGGACATCCAACAAACATTAGTATTCCCATACCGATAGCGTAAGCAATTGCTGTAAAAGCAATCCAAGCTGCAACAAATCTTGCATTTGGCTTAGCCTTTAAAATAAAGAACCCACTGAGTATTATTCCTAGACCCATTACTAAAATACCTCCAACACCTGAAAATATAAAAATCAGTGTATTAAAATGTCTAAATAATGCATTTTATTTAAAATTACACAAAATAAAATCTAATTATTTTCGAAATTGGTATTGATTAGGTTATAGTGCATTAATTGTCAAACATAATTTTGTAATTTTGTTATTTTATTAAATATAAATAATATAATATACTAAATGTAATAATAACGTCAAATATATTACTATATAGTATGATATTTATAAAATTTATCTATTTAAACATCCCTATACTATATATTTAAAGTATATTTTAATGTTGATTGTATACAAATAAAAATTATTGCATGCCAAAATATGTACTCATTATTTATGTGGACTTTCAATATCTTTTCAAAAATATTTTATTATATACCTTTGTACAAATTTATTTACAAAACCTTATAACTGGGAAAATAAAAAAAAAATACGAACTTTTATATTCATTTCCCCAAATAACATATGGTATTTTCTTTCTTCAACATCTACAAAAAATATTACATCATATTTTATTATTTATATTCCTTAAAATAATAAAATGGCAAGGATGCTTTAAAAATTAATGTTATCCCTTATTCCAAAGTTAAAATAATCTATTTCATAAAATAATAAATTAATACCATATGCTCTTTTGCAGATTTATTGTTTTATTTTATTTAAAATAGCAACAAATTTAGTTTAGCTTACAATTATTTTTAACACTTGATAATTATTAAAGTAGAAATTAATTTTTCTGCATACAAACTTTACATACTTTGCATACTTTTGCAAAGAAATTTTTATACAATTTTGAATAATTATATTAGATAAAAACTTTAATCGATCCATTGATTAATCAAATTATAATAAATTTGAAATATTAACTATATTATTATAATTTAAACATTTGATAGATTAGATTTTATATTTCATAAATACCTGAAATCAAGTTAGCATGATGAGCCGCTAAGCGAAATTGGCTTTCAAGATACTTCGGTAAAAACGTATATAATCCTGCAATAGGTAATATATGCAAAACACTACTAGCTGTTCGAAACATTAGAATATCATTTTTTAATAACCTCTTAACAGCTTTAGGAAAATCTGGAATAAAAAAATGTTTCACTTATTTTTAATGTATACAATAATTCATATTACTACATAATAAAAAACGTGCAAATATTATTAATGAAAATTATATACACATTGATGTTTAAACATTATATTAATTTTGAATAATATTTTATATAAATATATTAAAGTAATGTTATTTTATATATTCAACTGTTAATCATTTCAATAATATTAAAATAATAAAGAATTTATGAAAATAATTTTTACCTAATTATACTAAATTAAACTCATAAAAAATTATTCGAATAGATGTAGAAAGTATAATAGAATACTACTAAAATATACTATATTTTATTCTTAATGAAGAAATAATAATTTATTATATAGAATCGAACATTCTGTGTGTTCTAAAAATTAACTACATAATAATAATTTTGTAAGAACCAACAAATTATTTTTCTGTACAAAGTTATATAAAATATTATATAATAGTCGGATTAATATTCATAATCGTACAATTTGAATGAAAAAGTATTTTTATAAAAACTGTTTTTTTGCATAATTATAAAATTAGTTCTATTTCCTAAATTACAATGAATATGAATATGTAATTAAATAACCTATGAATGAAGAACAAATAATAAGTTTCAATTAAAATAAAAAAAATTAATCTTAAAATGATAAAAGTTTATGCGAATAATTAATTAATATTATGATTTATTAACAAATTGCTACAAAATGTCAGAAATAATCTTCAATACAGACAAAAATTAAGAATTTAATTATTATAATTGTTTTTAATTCATTTAAAATTTTTCTTTCCTTTATAAGTGTTAAATTCCTTTGCATCTACCATAATTGAAAGATACCTGTTCTTCCATTTATTTTACTTTTAGAAATTTAATATCTCTATGAACTGAAATAAATAAATTTGTTATTACTTAAAAATTATTGAATGTTTTCAATATTATTCATTAAATTCATAAATCGTCTTTTATTTATTTGTAATTTATAAAAATGATGTTTGTTCTTTATAAGCATTCGTATATTAATTCTTAAATAATTTATTAACTAAATAATATTAAAATAACTTGAAATATGTAAATTATTTAAAGCTATTTATTTTCAGTATAATAAATATTTATTAACTTGTATGGTTTTTAAATAAATTTGCACTTGAAAAATTATCTATTATAAATAATAAAACTAGTTAAATATAAGAAAAATATATATACTAAATAGTAGAAATCGACTTATTGGTGTTATTATTAACTTTATTTATTTAATATTTAAGTTTAAGTTAATGTTAGTGTGAATTATGTTTGCTATTTTAATTCGTAATTTTTATTATTTATAGATTGATTAATAATACATTATATAATTTTCATAATAGTCAAAGCATTTTCAAAGGATAAAAATATTGTGTCATATAATTTGTAAATTAATAAAGGAATTGATACTATTATTGGAAAGAAATAATTGGTAAAATAATAAAATATTAAAATTTTATTTATAAAAAAGTTTTTATTTAATTAATAAAAGTACATTTTATATATAAAAATATTAATATTTCATAAAAAATATAAATAATTTTATTATCATAGATTGTTGTACAGCTCAATATATAAACTATTTTACGTATTAATTATTTTGTATTAGTAATTCGTTTTCAGTTGAGTAACAATTTTATTTTATTCTATTTTATTTGGTTGCTTTATAATTGAAAACTATGTAATTATTAGTTAAATTCTATAAATAAATGGTACACACAATTATAATTTACTTTAAATAATTTCAAAATTATTAAAATGAATTATTATTTTCTTAAACTATCTTTTTAAAAATAAATTATTATACCGATCTATTCGAATATCCATTTATATTTCATTTAACTTCGAATAAAATCTTATGGTATCGTATTCAATATCACAATCGTATCAAAAGATCGATTAAATTCATGAGATGTTCAAAAGTGGTGGTTATTTCTTCTAAATATCGAAAATTAATTGTGTAAGTAAATGTACATATTACATGAAAAACTTGTGTTTCTTGATTTTAGAGGTCTATAGATATAGATATACAAAAATATTATTGAAAGAAATAAAACAGCATTAGATACTAATATTATATACTAATATTCATGCTTTTTAAATATATCATTTTATCATATATCATATTATCCATCATTTTATAAGTATTTTTTTAAGTATTTGAACAATGTAACTTTACTGCTTTGAAGTCTATAGATTTATAACTAAATAGTAAATACTTATATAAAATAAGAATGAAAATATTAAAATGATTCAAGTTATTTCTTCATATTTATATATAATTATGAAATAATTGTAAAATAAACTAAATAAACTTGCTTGAATTAGCAGCAAGAATTGAAATTACTTTCTATGAATTATTATGATTAGAATATTTATTTTGATAATTATTATATACCAATTATTTTAAATTAATTACGATTTTACAATGTAATACAATTAACTGAATTAAATTAAAATATAAAAATCCTGGTATCGTTAAAATAAAAAAAATATATGTTGGTACTAAAAATTAAGATTTCGAATCTTCTATTTCATTTTAAATTAATACATATGAAACTTACCTATAAGACTTGGTTTCTTAGCATCGGACCTTTTTGGTGGAGTTCTACTTTTTGGCAATCGCGTAGGGAATGCAAACATACCAATGGTAACTAACATTAACATCGTTGATATAAGAACCAAACCTAAAATTATCAAACATATTTTATTCTTTGTAAGGGTATATAATATAAAGATATTTAGAATAAAAAGTTAATAAATTATATTAATATTATACATTTAAACTCCCACATTTTTATTTATAAAATCTATTATTTAGCATTTATGCAAAATATTTTATTTAAAAAATATTTTATTTAAAAATATTCTTTAAAAAAATCACAAATATTGTTTTTATATTAATATTTTGTCATTACATAATATAATTTATAAATATGTATGAAATATTTTATAATAAATACATTATGTTATTTCATAATAATACAATAACAGTTATTAATTTTTATAACTTTTTACATAACCATTTTGTTCTGTTATTATTATATAATAATGTATAATTATTATATTATATATATTCATTTATACTGATTATGCACTTTAATTAGATTATTTTAAAACATTATCTTTCTACAAGTTTCAAAATTTAAAAATAAAGTATATAATATAATCTGCATAATCTTTTCTTCATAATTCTTCACAATGACAAAAAGATCATAATATTTACTGAAAGGTATTTATTCATTTTATGAATATTGCTTAATATGTACGTTTTACAAATATGTCTGTAACAACATCCATGATTGATAAAGTTTCAGATAATTTAAAATAACATACTATTGATTTATTTTATTACGATTTTTTTTTATTCTTTAATGATTTTGACAAATTAAAAATATGTAAATAATCGAGCCATAATTTATAGTGGATTAATTGGTGATATAATGGTAAAATCAGTAGACGTAGTACAACTACAAAATTTATTTTAAATCCTCGTAGATTTACAAATTTATTTTGAAACAATAATACAATAAAATTTAATATTACTTATTGTCGCCATTATAATTTCTATCATCACTGTATTAACTAAATAAATAATTTCAAATAATAGTTAAATTGGTATCTGTAATATTTGTTCAAATAGAATCATTTTAACTTTCGGTTAAAGCTAAACTAATATTAATATTTTCAGACAATTATTGAATAATAAAATATTAATTGTGCTATTTGTTTTGTGATGTGAATATTATATTAATATATATTTATTAAATTATTAAAATACATTTTTATATATTTCTATTTAAAATAGCATTCAAAATTGAAATGTACTTGTATTTTCAGTCAATCAAGATATACTTCATTTATATAAATGGTAATATATATAAAAGTTATGCAGAACTGTGACAAAAAATAATAGCTATTAAGATCTGTATTATAATTTAATATTTTTTCTTCAAATTTAATATCTCAATATGATTAGCATTTCAGGTTTTTAAAAATATTTTCAATAATAGTTGCAAATACATTTACTTATTAACAGCAGATTTTTTTAATAATTAGAAATCTTGAACAATTTTGAAAAATCAATGTCTTATTATACTTACATCTTCAAAATTTTATTAAAATAACATACAGAAATTCAAAACTAATAATAAAAAATTTAGGAAAAATTATATGCAAAAAGAAATAATAAATTTAATAATAACTTTATAAACTTTTTGAAATTCGATTTATAAAGATTATTTATTGGAATAACCATTAAAAATATAGAATAATTATTTAAATTATGTTAATCTAAAAATCTATTTATATATATATATATATATATATATATATATATATATATATATATGCATACTTTAATAATACTATATCGAAGAAATTTTAAAATAAACTTTTGTAATTTATTATTATATATTATTAACATAAGCTACAAACTTTCATTTAAATAAAATCTTGGTGAATAATTTGCCATTAAATGAAAAAAATATAATTTAATATCATAGTAGTTGGCAGCATGAAAATAAATACCAAGATTTACTTTTGAAATATTTCAAAATAAGTGTTTAATTTTGTATCAAATTTTATACAATAAATCTATATTTTATTTACGCCTTTATTATTTTTGACAAATTTTACATATGAATTGCAACTTACCAAACCACCATGCTCCTACCCATCTTGGATCCGAAGGAGTAATGGGAGGATCTACTGATAAATCAGCGTAAACCATTGTACATAATGATCCCAGCATAAAGCCCATAGCTGGACCAAGAATTCTAACGCCTATCGTAATGGCTAATATATATAATAATTAAATATATATATATATATGTGTGTGTGTGTGTGTGTGTGTGTGTGTGTGTGTGTGTATATTTGAAATGATTTTGAATGCAATAATGATTATATGAATATTTTATCAGTTATAAATAATATTCTTTGACTAATGTAAGTGATTTTTGTAGTTATTTTTAGTGGATAATTATATTTAATTTATAAAATAATATTTGCATACATAATTTTTTTGTTTTATTTACATAACTATTTTAATGATAAATAAAATATATTTTGGAATGAAAATTATTTTTTTTCATTATTATTATTATAACAATCTTGTTGAAAATATAGTTTTAAAGCATTTTTAAAATGACATGTACTTAATAAAAAATTAGTAGAAAATATTCAAGATCTTTTCATTAAATTTTTTTAAAAATAAATAAACATTATTGGTAGTTATTTTTAATGGAGGTGCATATAATTGTACTTTTTAATTTATTTAAAGTTCTATAATTAATACTAATGTAATTATTTGTATACAACTATTATAAAAAACTCGAATTAAAGATATGACCGCTGGTTTTTTAATGAAATGAGAATTAATATTTCTACATATTCTATGTCCCTAAAATTTCATGTTTTCTAATTCATATTTAACTTAAATATGATCATATACATTATTTATACTATATTTTAAAAACATAATTGTATTAGATTCATTTTTAATAGATATTGATTCAATGACAATGGTCTGATATTAAAATTATTATTTTGATTTAATTATTCTTTAAAAATGTTATACATTAAAACATTTTTTGAAAATAATATTAATATATTATTCTAATTCTTGATTAACATTGCATTGTGTGTAATTCAGTGTAATACAATAAAGTAACTGTTATAATTATGAAGATCAAATTTAGTATTAACATCTTTTATAACTAAAGAATATCACGAAGAAAATAATTCTATACTTTAAATTCTATAAAACTTCTTTTCTTACGATATATTTTTCAGAAAAAAGTTATAATTCTATGTATCACTCTTATAAATAGATTTTTCAGTAATTACGTATAATTTACTACTTTTTAAATTTTGTACTGATTATAAATCCATTTTTATATAAATATATTCTGCGAGTAATTATATTTTATTTTACTTATAGTATTCTTATTGATATGTTATTTTATATATCTATCAATTTTATACTCACCAAAATATAATGGACTCTCGCGACTAGCTACATTGTCATCTATATAGGGTATACCTAAAGTATAAACAGCCGTTTGACCCATTCCAACTCCCAGTAATGAGACGAAGAAAATAGCTAATACGACAGTGACTATTTTGCTCTGGATTCGCTGTTCTGTTAGGAAATCACCTTCGCAATATTCCGCAGTGTCAGTGCGTTGACGGTGCATTGCTACACCTGATGACCATCTGTCAAATAAAATAATAATAATTATTTACGAATTATGCTATTTCTATATTCTACTTTCTTGATTTCATAAATAATATATATATATATATATATATATATATATCACATGTTTAATATTAAATTTAAATTTGCTTTAGCAAATAATCAGAAAGATCCTTAATTATAATGTATAGTAAATAATAGTTTTTCTAGCTATTGCTTAATGTTTAACAATTCATTATTTTTCATTCGAGGTTACTCCAATTCAAATTTTATAATTATTAAGAAGATTAAATCTTAAAAAAAATTTTAATTGTTAATGAAATAAAATCAGATTTTGCTTAGAATAAAAGCATAAATAAGTACATTCATTTTTATTTTCCTAATATAAAACTTAAATAAAAATGGAACGTGTATATTCTATGAAATAGCATTCAATTTTCAATCATTATTAAAAATTTTGAGTTCTTTTTTGTTAATTATGCATTAATGATATAAAGTTTAATTTTCGACTTAGACATATGATGAACGTTTGAAACACAGTTCAGATTTAAATTAGCTAATCAAAACATATGTATCAAGTTTATGATTTCTCAATCTTTACTTTGAACAATTATTTTTAAATATAAAATTTAAAAAACACGCATAAATTGAAATTTCCAAAATAACGTATTAGTGAGTTCATAATAAACAAAAATACACATTATTAAAATATTTACTTCTTTTAATATTGAAGAAAGAAAAAAAATTGGTAGATACCAATATGTTCCTACGTTATAAAAAAGTTATAAAAAAAATTACTAACATAAATAAATAATTAAATAAATTACTAACTTACAAGCAAACTAATATTCTCGTGATATTTATTTGAATGTGGAATAAAACTATAGTTTTATTAACTAATGAAACATTAATAAAATATTATATTTGTAATCACAAAATCTATAAGAATTAAACAAATCATTTTAATAAAGAGATTAGAAAGTGATTTACTGGTCTTCGTATTTTCAGTTTAATATGTCTTATTTTCTCACCGTTAAAAAATAGAACAGTTTAACAATATACAATAAAAATAAAAATATTAAATATTGAAAAATAAAAATGTTTTTATTTACTATAAAATTAATAATAACATTATATTATAATATATATATTATATTTTTTAAAATTTAAATTAATTGAATTATCTATTTTTCCAATTATTAATATTAAACTTGATATTATTAAAGATGCTGTACTATAAAATAATGTACATTTATTGATTCGAAACTATTTAGACATATAACCAATAAATATTTATTTAAACTATAATTTTAATGACTAAAAAATACAGCAAGTCTACATTTTATAACAAAATCTGAATATTAACAAGCTTGCTAAACATTAATTTTCTTATGGATATACGTTTTTGTTATATATAGATCTGTTGTTAACTACATTTAAATCTTTTAAACATAAAAAATCTTAATTAATAGGACCATTTTTATAATAATAATTCAGTTATTTAATTGATTTAATACATAAATATAATTTTCATTTTTATTTTTAATTTTAAATATTATTGTGCTTATTAAAATTGAATTCGACCGATTTAAAAAAAATCAGTTTTTTTATGTACGTTTATAAAAATTGATGTAATATCGAAATTGATATATATTATTAGTTAAACTTATTTTTAATCATAGTTAAATTTTTCCATCTATTCTTCTATTCAAATAATTTTATAATTACCTACGTTAATATTAAAATCAAATCCGATACGTTAAAGAGTTTCAAGTTTCGTACATATACAATATGCATTATTCAAAGCGTCATCGTTCAATAATCTATATTTATATTTAATATTTTTTATTATTTCAATAATTTATAAATGAATTTTAAATAAATTATGTAGCTCTGTGCATCATTAATTTTATATCGATATATATAATTGATATCTGATTAACAATCTTATTGTCAGTTAAAATATTTAGAGTATGTAGATATTGTGTTCTTTCTTACTTTTATATGAAATTTAAAGATATATCATGTATGACAACTAACATTTTATCCATTTTATTACTCGTTTAAAATATTATACTAAAAGACAGAAAATAAAGTAAAAACTCACCCATTGAAAGATGAATTTTCAGGTTTCTCAAAAAATTTGCAGAGGTTCGCAGGTATAGGATTAGTGACGTTAGTTCCATTAACCTCACCACTTAAAGTACCTCCATTGAACAATAGCTCATTCTGCTTGATAAGCTGTTCACCGAAGATAAAATGTGGCATGGAACAAGTAAAGGAACTCGCAGCAAACAGTATCATACCCCATGCTATCCACTTGGGCCGATGACCTTGACCACCATAATACGTTAAGAGCAAAGACGAACCGATTTGACCGAGTTCAGTAGCCGACATTATCAATCCTGTCGTTTTAGATTGGATTTGAAATAACTTTTCAATTGTCGTGATAACCGAAACAAAATATGTAAAATACATCCCTTGGAGTACCTATAAAAAAAAATAAAAACAGTTTTTCTAAATACTTTATAAATATTTTAATTTATTATATTACATTCTTTATATAAATATCTAAATGTAATATATTTTTTATATTAGAAATTTATCCAAATATCTTGTATGTTATACTACTGTTTATATATCAATAGAATTACTTTAAATTCTATCAGAATTATATAGCAAACTAATATTTTTTACCTTAATAAAATATATTCTTAAGTAAATTTATGAATTAAGCAAATTTCATTATTTTGAGCAATACCTTATTTTATTTAACTATAACTTACAATAATTACAACGATACTTATATTAAAACGTTCATTAATATACTATTTAAGATAGTGTATTCACTCCTTTATAAATAAGTTTAATTTAAATATATTTATAATTTCATATAAACACATACATTTACAATTGCACAAAATAAATTTATGTTTCCTTGGCAAGAGTGTTTATAATTTTAAATTAAAATAGAAAGAAGCAAACTTTGTATTATTGAAGTAAGAATACTTTTTAATTTCAACAATATGAATCTAGGTATTCCACCATATGTATTATTATATCAAAAAATTAATTTTTTCAAATATTTAAAGTTTAAATTTAATTAATATTAATATTAAAGATAATTTTTGGAAATGTTTAACATATTTATTTTAAATCATAAATATTTCAAAACGTATTTAAATTTTACTATAAATTGTTATATACAAATGTGTCTTCTACAAAATGAAAAGAAACAATAAGAAGAAATTCAAAAACATTAATACAAATGTCTCTTATATAGTTTGTTATATTATAGCTAAAAAAAATAGTTTATTTTATTTGGAAATATAAACTGAAATAAAATAATAAAATTATTAATTAAACATTAATTTCCTATTTACAAAACTATATATTATAGCATGACATATATTATAGCATAACTCTGAACAAAATTGATCAAATTATATCAAATCACTATAACAAATGAATAATAGATAGTTAATTTATTCATAATAATTATTAATTATTTATTAATTAGAAAAGCGATAAATAACTCTTAAAATTAGATATTATTTTATTTTGAAAACTTTTTTTAAATTATTGCTCATTCATGCAAGAATGTTAAAATTATATACAATTTAATACTTACCCATGTAATACAAAAAATAACAAGGAACACTTGCTTGGTGGCAAATCTTTGCAGCCAATGAGGCCTGATTGGTCCCCAACCACAAGAAATATCTTCATCTTCAAAATTGGTTTGATAGTTACTACATTTTTTGTTTGTTGCGATAAGTTTACCATTCTCTACAGCCGATATCTTTAATTCTTTGCCATTTGACATTATTAAACCATTGTTGTTATATTGTTCCTTCTTTAATTCATTACTTATAATCAATTTGCCGTTGCATGGAATAATCGTCATTGGCTCTATTGCTCCATTTGAAAGTGTCAAAGTATTTTCACCTGCCATTTTTCATTAATCTTCAAAGTACGCTATTTAGGCAGGCTTAAATTAGCAGTGCTAATATATTTTCAATTCGACTAATTATATCAATATTAAGATCACATCTTTGACCTGCAAAATTAAAATTATATTTGGGGTTAATTATCGAATTTCATTTAAGTTACATAATAGTTATTTATGAATTATAAGTACAAAGAATTATGAGTCTAAATAATCTATAGATATAAAAATACATTTTAATGTTCTGCAAAAAATTGTTTAATTAAATTAGTTATATTTAAAAATAATAAATTATTTCTAATTAATTACTTTAATCATAATACTTTAAAATAAATAAAAATTAATTATAATCTATGAATATTGGTAACTAATTAATTGGCATATTCTTTCTTTTTATTAAAATTTTTCGCCTATTCTTGATAGAAAATTTATAATTTATATTTAAAAAAAACCATTATAATCTTAATAAGCTAAGTAAATGTTTTATATATTTATATTAATAGAATAAAAATTTTATTCATAAACAGTTTTTAAATTTTAATCTATACATTTATTATACAAATATTTACATATAATTTTATTTTAACTGTAAATATTAATATTTAATTTAACTTAACTATATTAAATGTTATTTAATAAAATAATTAATTATTTAATTGCATTTAATTAATATGCATTAAAATGTCTAACAATTATTATAAAAATTAAGTAATTCTTTGCAATGATAAATAAAAAGTAGAATTTGAAAATAAATGCTTATTTTACGTTAAAAACTATAAGTTTATTAATAATTTACAATTATTAAATGCATCAAAGTTAATACATACTCACTGGCGATTATTATTGTATAAAATGATTTTTAGATTATTACATTTTGTATTAATATATTTATACTTGAAATATCTTAATTTTATTTCCAGATTTATATTTCAGGATTATATTTATATGTAAAGCGATTAATAAAAATTGTATTTTAATTTTTGTATGACAATAAATTACCAATCTATAATTTGAAATTGGAAAATTGATATGTAAGATAATTTATATATTCTCATGCAAATAAAGTCAACGATTCTATTAGTCTTCTTTTAGTTCATAATTAATTGTAGAAACAATATATTTATATTGAAATTTATTTTTTATAAATAAATTAAATGTTTTTTAATTTCGTATTAAAAATATTTTTTGTAAATTTCTTCTATAATAAAAATAAATAATTCAATTATCAGCCTATCAATACGGTATATCTATATGGCAAACAATATAAAATCTAGTGTTAATAAAAATATTAGCTTTCATTACACGTCAATTCGAACAACTATAAGCGTGGAGAAATATACGAAAAAACAAGTAAAAGTCAATAAATCACTGCTTGGTAATTAACTTTATTGTACACATGCTATCAGAATAATTTGAGTGCTAATGTGCTAAAGATAATAATACATCGATGAAAGATAAAATATGCAGTGATAGTCATTAAAATTTATTGCAACTTTTCGTAATCTGTGTTATATGAAACACCATTACTGTGGAAAATCAATCAGCTCCACTGCTCTTATCCAGCTTCCCGAATAATTCATTTCATTTTCATCAATAATTGCTCTATTTTCTTTCTTCTCTAGAATTGTGGCTGTATTGCGGCAGTATCGTCTTCCATCATTTGCCTCTTTATATTAAAATTTTTTACTTATCTCTTATAAGTGAATCCACATCTTGTCGTATATTATCTTTCGTAAAGATTCTATTTTATTATACTATTTAATTGATTTTTTTTACTTAATATAAGCATTAGATAAAAAGTATTTCGTTCATAAATGTTTCTATTGTTAATTAAAAAAAGTAAATTTAATTAGTAAATTTAACATAAAAAATAAATTTAATTTAATGTAGTGGTATTCATTGACTATATATATCAAATTATTATATTTCAAAATTATTTTTTTTAAATATATTTATTACTAAGCAAGTTCTTAATTTACCAATAAATTAATAAAAAGTTAGGTATGCTGTCAAAAATATCAAGTTATGATAGATAAAGTTTATTATTTATTTAATTTAATAATTATATATTTAAATAAATATGCTACTGTGCTCTACATCAATATGAAGTTACTCGAGCTTCTGTTCAACGTCAAAACACTTAATTCACTTGATAAGGTGCTTCTTATTTTTACAAATAGTTAAATTATTAATATATATTAAATAAAAATTTTATGTTGTAAAAGAATTTTTTCATTGCCGTATTGCCGTAAAAATTTGGATTATCATAGGGATTAGAATGAAAAACTTTGAATAATTTAACAAGATATTAATAGATGTGATTTATAGATTTAAATTATTATAAATATTAATTTTTTTATTCATCTATATGAATTTTTGTGTTTTTATTTCTTTTATAATTATTTTTTGTTATATTTTTTTTTTTTTAAATAAAAATAGTTTTATACTATAAAATATTTGGGTCTTATAAGTATTTTTTCTTACTCAGTTTTTAATTTAATAATTGAATTTAATAAGTACAGTTTCATTAATTTTTCAATATTATATTAAAATTTTTTGAAAATAATTATTTTAATTAAATATAACTATGTATTATTAGAATTAAAAATCTTATTAAAGTATTATATCGTAAATATAATAGAAGATTAATTAATTTTATTTTAAATAATAAATTTAGCTCTTAAAAGTAGCATGATGTTTATTGAAAAAACATTTAATATATACGCATAAATTAGATTTATAGTTGTATTTATTATACAATAAAAATATATTTCTGATATTTATTTGAATTAATAGATCTTAAGAAAAAAAAATTTAATTCTATATGTATTAAGTCTATACATTTTATTAAATTACATATAAATATGTGTTGCAAAATAATTAAAAAGTTGTCTTGGAAGATATATGAATTATTAATATTTCATTATAATTAGTTTCCAATTTTTTTTAAAGAGAATTTATATCAATTTATAACTTAATGAGTATATTATTCAATACTATTTTTCTATAATGTTATATATATATATATATATATTTATATTATATTAAGCATTTTAATACGGTTATTCAATAAAAGTAATAAATATTTATTTGCATATGAATATTAAGATATTATTGATAAAGTTTAAATCTTACGATGCATTTCTGTATTATTGATTAATTATGTTTCAAGTACTAAAAAAATGAATAATTGTAACAGATTTAAATTTAATTTTATATCTAAATTTATAAATAATCTAATTTTTACATTTATAAATTATATAGTTATAATACTAAAAATTGAAATCAATAATATAATTATATTTCTGACGCAATTTTACTTAATGTTCGTTAATATCTATGAACAATTTATTAACAAGAGAAAATTATTCATTTATAAGTTGAAGTTCTTCATTATATTTTTTACTATCATAAACTTTGCTAAAATATTATTTTATGTTTATAATACATTTTTATTTATTTGTTTACTAATATCTATTAAGTTAATGATTAATAAAGATAAAAAATAATACTTATTAATTTTCAAAATTAATTTTAGCTTTTTTTTCTTATACATTAAAATTAAATTTATTTTTACGTTACGGTATTCAAATTAGTATTTTGAAATGCCTATTTTATTCCATTTTAATATTTATAATTGTAATAAACACTATTATTTTTGTTATTGTAATTACATATCAAATATTGATTATAATAATAATAATTATTATTATTATTACATTAAGTATCATTATAATTTATAATTATGGAAATGTTAGTTTATTTTTTCAATTTTAACTTTGTATATTCCTAAATTAGTTTGTAATGCTGCTTGATTCCATTCTCTAATATTTCAGATATACAACATTCAGATATTTTTGTCTACAGTCTGTTTACTGAAGTTTTTAATGAAATGTATCTATCACATAGCTTCTTGCAAGTATTTTCATATGTTAAATTAAAATTACTATCGTATTTATTTGCATTCTGGTTCTTTTCACATGGTTGCCTAATTTACATCTTTCTAAAAATAATGAATAAATTGTTAATTTATATTTTAAAAAATTCATAATCTTGCTGTAATCGTAATAATAACGAAATTTTTCATAATTAATTGATATATATAAAATTTATCAAGAAAATATACTAGATACTTAAATCTATTGAAAAACAAAATAGTTTCAAATTCATCGAATCTCTTTCTGTTTCTACTTTCACTTTTTATGATAGTAATTATTAAAAAATAAACATAAAATTTTTTTTTAATCAAATTAGTTTATTCGTTTTTTATTGAAATTTTATGTAATATATACTCAATTATAATACATATTTTTTACTTCCTTATAAGTATAAGATGTTATAGAAAATAAATAAATGTTTTATTATAATGTTTCTAAAAAAATTTCAGATACTTCAATTAATTATTGAACAAATACATTATTATTTATTTGTTTAAACAATTAGGTTACACAATGAAAATTTACAAAAATCTGGAAAGTTTACTAATTTTAAACATTCAATATTATTTATTTTTATTATTATATTTTTTATTTAATTAATACTTACTTAATAATGTATTTGTAAAATGTTTGACTCATTTGTTATCAAACTAAAATTATAAAAACTATTTACATATTTACAAATTTATGTAAATAATTTATAATATATACTAATTAAAGTGCTAAATATCGCTTTAGATTTTATAGAAACCTATTTATTGTTGGCAAAAATTACGAATTGCATAAAAAATAGTAAAAAGAATAAAAATAGTAAAAATAGAAAAATAATTTAATAATTCTATTTTAATCATAAGTTATCATTTAATAAATATATGAAAAAGGACTTTTTATATTCGATCCAAAAACAATTTCTAATAAATTTAGATAGAAATTATTTTACTGCATACAAAATGAAGCACAATTACATAAATTTAAAAATGACTTCAATAAATATACATTACTTTTTTATTTAACATGAATTAACAATAATTATTTGAATGATTTTCACATCACATTCCACAAAAATACAATTTTTTTAAAATATAGTTGAATTAATTACAATACAATCGATAATTTATATTTATATTTATATTTATTTATATTTATATTTATATTTATTTATATTTATATTTA